CACTGCATAGGGAATACGGTACCATTTGGGACTCAGTCTTAGCTATAAGGTCCAGGCTCAAAGCATTACTTTTGTTTTGGTTTAGATAACTAGCAATCTTTATCTTTTCATAGTAGGCTATGTTTTTACCTTAGTTAAAAAATATTGCGTGAGTGTACCACTGGGCAATACTGCTCAATGCTTCCGTGCCTTTGTACATATTTATCGTTTTTTGTGAGTGCACCTCTGTGTGCCTCAAATCAAATACATATTTCAGGCTTTGTATTTTGCACCAGTTTCCACTGTAATGTAATGTAGCTTTCAGTATGATAATTTATCCTCATTCTTCCTACCCAGTCAGGACACTGATGATGAATGGGAGCCAATAACCAGGCTGCGGGCCTGGTCCACTGTCTCCCCTGTTGGCACCCCTAGCCAACATCTCCAGCTTGACTGCTGCCAGCATTGTTGATTGTTTTGTGTGAGTGCACCTCTGCTTGGCTCAAATCAAATACACATTTCAATATGTCCCCAGGACACGGTTTTATTGTATATTGTTGAAAACATTGCCCTGCACCTCTGATATTTTGGATGTTTGAGGCCTCCGTTTTGAAAACTGCTTGACCATTTGTTTTTCTGTGAAGAAATGTTCTCAATTTTGTAACCGTTTTGTATGTCACACTTTGGGTACATGTTGGGCTACTTGGACATAACTCCAAAACATTGTTCAGCACTACTTCTTCATGTGATGTGAAACATTACTTTGAAAGTTTAAAAACATAACGGTTTTTATTTCTGCACCTTGTCTTGTGTAATTCCTATCTATGATATGAGCATTTCTATACAAACTACAAAGTGTTTCCTTTCAAACGATACCATCCATATGCATGTGCAGCAAATCATTCCTGAGTTATATACTTTTTAGTTTGGGTATGACATTATAGGCGGAAATTCACATTTTTGCCTGTGTTTAATTTGATAATAGAACAACCCTGCTGAGCTGAGCCATTCAGCCCCAGACACAACACTGCAGATGCAAAAATATTCAGCAAGTGAGCATTCAATTTAAAAGCAGGTTGAAAATTACATATATTCCCCCTATGATGATGATGATATGCATGGAGAAATAAATCAGAGTGCAAGAGGGAGAATAGATGAGAAACGGGGGAGACAGTATCACCCGATCTGTCATATCTTAAAAAGCGGAGGGATGTGGAGGGATGTGTCACCTCAAGTCTTCAAAAAAAAAGAGAGAGATAGAACCTTCCTGCCACATTCTGATATGAAAGGTTTCTGTGATTGCTAATCTATGCAAAACAGTGACTCATTCATAATGCATGAGAATGAAGAGATACCAATTTTGCAACGCTTTCAGATTATTAGATGTTATCGTGAATGCAGCGGATGAAATATGAACACTCCTACCTGTCCCATAGTAATTACATGAGTGGAGTGATCTAAACAGGCAGTGGAAGAGAGAGGGGGGGTGGGGGGGTGGTATGGCTGGTGTGTGTGTGGCCCCCAGTGGAGCACAGACCAACGGGATATAGGGATGTGGACACAGAGCTCCTAATAGGGATTAATGTGTTTCCCCCCATTCTATGAATCCTGTTGTACCCCTTGATTTATTCACTTTAATGCGGAATCTTTTAGAATGAGTGGTTGACTGGGTTTTAAATGGGCCATCAATCACACTGTGGTGACACGTGATTAAATACGAAGATCTTCATCCTCTCAAAACCTCGTCGACACACAACAGGATTAAATGAATTGGCAGGTATCCAAAGGAAAATTATGAGTATATTTTCTATTCATAAGGCAGTTCAAAGTATTCATGTTAGATAAGATGGCTCTTATTAAATTAATGCTAATCAAATTTCTGCTTGAATATTTGGGTTCTTTAGAGAGCCAAGTGTAATTGCATTGAGTTCTATGCCAGCTTCTTCTGAATGCGGGTGGTAGCATGACTAAAGAATTGGCATTCATGTTTGCATCGCTAGATTTAGAATAATAGATGCAATGAATTGTACATATTTCTGATTGAAGCTTCATAACCGAGAGAGATCAAGAGAAACCACTTCAATTGAGCAAGTTCAATATTATTTACTAGAATATTCACCCAAATGCTACAGTAGATACCATTCATTCTACAGAAGACAACCACACAACCTGAGAAATCATTGTTGCCATAGTTTTGGTGGGCATTTTTGACAGGGTCAGTTCATTTAACCATAACAACAGGAGCACAGCTGCTTTAGAGTTGGGGTGAACTTGACTTGTTCAGTAGAAACCTTAATATATATATTTTTTAACGGAGTTGGTGATGAGCTAGCCAGACCACGGGAATAAAATACAGCCTCAGTACTTCCTCTCAACCTTTTTAAAAAGCAGAGGAGCCCAATTCTTCTAAACTTCAGTGTCAAGACATCTGGATTGCACATGAAAGCCTTCTGTGAGAAAAAAAAAAACGCAGACAATTTTATGCTTTTACATTCCCGGTAACTTTGCCATAAGAGATTTGCTCTTAAAACGAGCAGAGCAGGGATGAGGGGTGGTATAAAAATCAATAAGGCTCTTCAAAGGCAACAAGAAAAAGCGAGGCCTTAGCCTGCAATTAAACAAGAGAGCTGCCGGCACTAAGGGGATGACATACCACTGTGTAGGTGTCCTCCGCTACTTCACACAACCAGTTACCTGATCGATGCAATGACATGAATATGGTATGTGGAATGGACACTAGTCATGTGCTGTGGTGGTCAACGCTCTCTATGTTGATGTAGTTCTGGTAACTCTGTCTAGTTATGTTAGTGCTCATGTGAGTCACAAGTGACCCATTGTTTTTGCCACAAAGTGGCACCAATGTTTCAGTCCTCTTCAAATGAAGCGTGGAGACTCTGGGGAATTCTGTCACAGATTCTACCACACCCCGCTGGCTTTAATAGGGTCAGCAGACCCCTGCTTTCACCACAGCCAGTTGCCCCTGGCCCCCTCCACCCCCTTCACTTCCCCAAAAGGGCAACCTCCCCACAGGAGGGTCACAGAGCCCTAATGAGTGAGGGGGTTCGGAGGCTGATGTCTGTCAGCCGTCTGTCTATGCCTGTGTCTGGAGGCTGGGAGAGGATGGCCATGCACGTACGCACACACACTATCAACCCTCACCCAGACATATAGCTCTGTTCGTATACTATATTATACAATACACACATAAACATATGCATGTTTTATCCAGGAAGAGTAGCTGCTGCCTTGGCAACAGCTAATGGGGATCCTAAGAAACTACTAAATGTTAAAGACCACATACTGTACTCAAAATCTCCAACTAACATAGATACCGATATAATGACCTGTAAGGAAAAACATGCATAGGCAAACATTAGTCATGGCCAAGAACAAAGTGATATCTTGTCAGCCAGTTCCAATTGTGTGTTGAATGTGAATGGGTCCTGACAACATTTCACCAGCTCATTGAGACCAAAGGGATGGTGGTGCCATAGTGATCATGATTCATGACCACAACATTTCCCAAGCAAAATTAACCATTGCGTTACTCTTGCTTGAGCAGTACGATTTCTGCATCCCTTATTATTCTCCCACAATGATTCAAACACTGCAAAAATGTATATATTTTCTCCTGGGAGAACTCTTAAGGCTTTCTTAGTGTTTTCATGTAATCTCCAGTGCTGACATTCTCCCTCTATCCTTGACCCCCTTTCATTGCTCCTTCTGTTATCTGAAATAATGTCAGGGCCTTCTTAAAATCTATTCATCAGAGCAAAAAGAAGCTGGCACTGACATTGATAAAAAAATAACACATCTGTGCCTCGCAGGGGTAAAAGGAAGAGAGAGGAGAGAGAGAAGAGAGGAGAGCGAGAGAGAAGAGAGAGGAGAGAATAAAGAGGAGCTTCAAATGAAACAGGAACGGTTGGGCTGCTGTCTCCCTCTTGTCCCCCCTCGTCAATGCCATTTCAATTGAAAAGTGCAGTGGTAATTAAATTGCAGCGGGGGTTAGGGGCGACTGTGCTGAGCAGTGACGGGGGCAGCCCTGACATAAAGATGACACAATTCAGGGGGACGGAAGGGGCGACAGGCGGAAAGGGATGGAGGAGGGTGGGGGGCATGTGACAAATGCCGTTCATTCATACACACTGCCAGGTCCACACTACTCAATCTTCATGACATTTGAAATTAAATAAAATGGAGATTCAAGACTCAGATATCCCGAACTGACCTTTTCTGAAATTAGAAGTTTTCTAAATTAGGCTAATCCATATCTTATATGAATGCAGCATAGGCGGAAATGTCTGTTATGCTTAGGGGATGAGCAGTTAAGTAAAACATAATTTGAAGATGCCCGTGTGTGTGTGTGTCAGCACAAAAGTAAGTGTGAGTCACTGCTCGCCACAGAGCTGTTGATCCACATTAGGACGGTAATCCAGGCTCCCTGAAAAGCCTTAGAGATCCAGCCTCCCCTTCCTCATGTCCTACACCACCTTTCTCACTCAACATTAACAATGATCAAAAACAAACGCTTTCCTAATTTTGTAAATAAATCACTAGAAACATGGGATGCATATGTACCAGAGGAGGCTGGTGGGAGGAGCTGTAGGAGGACGGGCTCATTGTAATGGCTGGAATGGAATTAATGGAACAGCATCAAACACATGGAAACCACATTTGACTCTGTTCCATTTATTACATCCATTACAATGAGCCTATCCTCTTATTAGAAATCTTAAAGAAATCAGATAATGGCTGTCATTTTAAATTTCATACTCCGCTCTTGGAAAGAAGAGCTTCAGGGGCTGTCTTCAAAACATGGTCTCACCACAAAAAAAAAAATGGAGAAATTAAATTTTTGCTTTGGACCTTGAGAAAACAATTACCCTGCTATGCTTCTTGAGAAAGTGGTTTATGTTAAAAATCCATTTTGTATTTTTATTCTATGAATTCACTATAACTAGTCTTGGATGGTGGCCAAGTGTGCAATAGCTCCTTTAAAGACATACACACACCACTTATGTGACACATAGAAACAGTTTATTTTCTATTTTAAAAAGGTTAGTTTAACAAGTAATGCATCTGCCATGGCATTGTATTGACACCTGAAGCAAACACCGAATGACAATCTATCGCTCTGATTCGCTCAGTCCCTGTTGAGGTTAGTGACTTCTTACAATTTGCTGCCATCTATTGGACAAACGGATCACAGCACCCTCCTTTGAAATGAACAAGAAGTCAATGAAGGTACTGATATTCAAAAACAAGACTAAAAACCGCACACTGAAAAAAGACAGATGACCAACCTTGAGTTCAAAAACAAATAAGCACTAAAGTCAAGGTTGGTCACCCATCTTTGTTATATTTTTCAGTGTGTTTGTTTTTACTCGTTTTTGAATACTAGTTGTTCCTGCCAAAACCAGCAGCTAGACAGAGACTAGCTGAGCACAGGGGTTCTCTTGCTTTTCTGCAGCATCCTCTTTAGAAATGTCATGATAAGCTCATGCTAAACCTAAAAAAACTGTTCAAACCCACATCTGTAAACATTCATTTCAGGCCAGGGAAGGTTCATACAGGCCAGGGAAGGTTCATACAGAAAACTAGAAATCCACATTTCAAAGTGAGTGAGGTGTGATCATGAAATGGCATGATTTGAGAGTTAGAAAAATAAGTGATGAGCCAATATCCTCCCCTGACACAAAGAGTCTGTCTTGACTGTTGGTAGTCTAATAGACAAGTGCTATTAACAGTTACGCGTCATCCCATACTGTAACCAACTCTTCTATTGTTTGTTGTCATTCCTTAACAATAGAAGAGTTGGAAGGCCAGAGTCATGGAGCAAAGCTCCCCATTACCCTGTAGGGAGGGCAGTGGGCACACCCACGGCCAGTGTGTCTCAGTAGCGCGCTAAAACCTCCAGGACCTCCTCTTTCACAGCGAGGGGAGAGTGCTGCTGCACGCCTGCTGCACCGATACTGGTCTCCCAGCAGTCATAGCCACAGTCCCTCAAGTCCTGTATAGTATTCTGGACCACCGAGAACTCAGTTTCTATGAGAGGAAATCACAAAGACAAAGAAAAACAAACCATCACACACAGTGAGCTACATTTAAAAACACACAACTTGTTTTTGACCCTCCGTTCCTGCCTACTGCGCCAGAGGATTCATTTACATCTGCAGAGCTTGGGAGAAGGACTAGGGTTGCTACTGAAATGGCACCCCTCGGAGTCCGCACCCTAGGGTTCTGTGATGCGAGACTCCCACTAGGAGGTAGAGTCTGACTGCCGCTGTGAGAGCTGAACCCACAAAGCCCTCTCTAGCAAAACACCAGCGTGCCCAATAACTGGATAATCATTTGTAAACATAGGCTAAAATGCTTAGGGTGTAAATGTGTCAAATAGGGGAGCAATTTCCAAAAGTAAAAGTAGAAAGCCTCACAACATGCAGCAAAGGAAACGTTTGTGTGACCAGGGATTTGAGAGACTGACCCTCGAGGAGGGCATTTAACCTGAACCGCTTCATGATATCTGTGGTGCTGTGTGGCTCAGCTAGGAAGAGCATGGCACTAGCAATGCCAGGGTCATGGGTTCAATTCCCACTGGGGTCAAATATACCAAAAAAATATATGCTCCCACTGTCTGTACTGTACAGTAAGTACTGTACTTTGGATAAAAGCATCTGAAATGGCTACTATACTGTATTATTAGTAGTAGTATTTATTCAGCTGAAGAGCAAACCATAAGCTAAAGTACATCTTTATGTGGAGAAAAAACACTACAATGCTCATTAAAACTAAATGATAAATACGTAGCGCGTCATCTGACAGTGGTGGGTTTTAACAAGGCTGCAGGATACTTGACTGCATGTTTCTCTCGCTCAAAGCTGATCTGAGAGCACTGAGGAGAAAACACTTGACTAAACCTTTTGGAAAATGGCTGCAAACCACAAAAAATGGCCAACGCATGCTAGTACAACCTCACTTGGGGCTTTATTTAGGAGGTCGTTAGCGGATTAAAATTCAGTGTGTTACGGGCTGCAGGCATAAACAATGTAGGCAGTGGATTTTTGTGGAAGATAAGCGTGAAACACAGAATCCTCCTGGCTAACTGAACCAGCTCTCCTTCTCTATGCCGTCAGTTTGAGACTACAGAACTTTTACCTCAAATGAGGAAGAGGATGACTGAGGGTGACATTTTGGCACACACCCCATATCTTGGCTCTCCGTCAAATCAATATAATGGAGCCAAATCTACTGATGTGTCGCCATACAATCAGCATGCAGATGTCATTTCACAGATCTCGCTCACTGTTAAGAGGTCACACGATTCATAACAAATGGACAACGCAACAAGGCTCTCAGCAACTCCCTGCCCCAAAATGAAGGCGAGGGCCATAGATGGTGGCGATGCCAATGCCGTGTAAGAACACATAGGGGCGATTACTGTGAGCCAGATGAAAGTGTAGGGAGGCGTTATTAGCAGACAGCTACAGTACCTGGTCTAAGCAAGGTGATGCCACAGCCCCCTCCTCCGGCGCCAGTAAGCTTGCTGTGTAGCCCTCTGGCCAGGGTGACCCGGCACAGGGTGTCCAGGGTCGGGTGTCCGACACCAATCACGTTCAGGTGGTGCTGGTTGATGTCAATAAGCTCCTATGGGAGACATAATAGCAGCTGTGGGTTTTATATTATTTCATTTTGAATCTGTTTTGCATGAAAACACTATTTTGTTCTGTATTTAGGCTTTTCATGCAGCTGTAGTTTTTACCATGTGTAAGAGGAAGTCAATCATTTCTACACTGTGTCAGACCGGTAGTATCTACCTCACCAGAACACACCGTCCATAGGCAACATGCGTTTCCATACCGTACCTCCAGGACATTGTAGTGCTCTGGTGTGGGGGTGTCGCTGGCCATCTCTGTTATGGTCTGCTCACAGGCGCAGGAGACTGCATCCACAGACTCCAGTACAGGGTTTATAATAGAGGGAAACTGGAGGGGGGAAGAGAACAGCAAATAAACATACAATTCATACTTTTTACAAATAATTGGGAATTCAATGTAAAAGGAATTTAACAACACTAAATATACTTAAGGAAGTCAACAGTGCGGACTAAAGCAGCAAATATTCATATCGTCGCATCTAGTGGTCATATCATTCTTTAAAACAGCCAGTACATTTTGTATAGCAGCACAAAAAGTCAGTCACTCAGTGCTGAGTGAAAAATGTCACTCTTTCCCCCAATCATAACACTGCCAGTAACACCACCTATGCCAATCTAACGGAACAGAAGTGCTCACACCTGTGGGTGTCGCCTAGGCAACGGCACACAAGGGTGCTAGCTAAGTGCTTCTTCTCCATGTTTTATGAAGGCAGTCAATGCCAGGCCCCAGAGTGTCTTTCCCATGCAAATTAAAGCACTGGCGATTACACTAATTACAGGGCTGGGGAGGAGAACACAGTGGAGACGAGACCGCAGCCATTTAGTACCTTGTTCATTTTGTCCTTCACTCCAGCAACAAGTACCTTGGTGCTGCGAGGGACCTTGGTGTTTGTGAGTAGGATCCTTAACATTGGGACCCTGCAAGTGGGAAAATATTAAAGGAAAGTTACCAATATCATACCACATTGTGTACCTGTATTTATTCAGGTGTTGCTATTGTCCTCGTTTCCCTCATATGAGCGGCAATAGCAGAATGGAGTCCATAGAGTCCAAAGAGAGGGAGCACAGACTATCTTTCACATTAATTGTTTTGTGACAGCATGGGCAGTGTCATGGAGGGCTGTCCTTATTCTAAAGTAGTCCATTTTAACTTCATTGGGGATTTAATGCCACCTGCCATGCTGGAATAATTGTTCAAGAGTAAAATCCATTGGCTCCCACTGACCTGGATGACATTCTTTAATCCCTACACAACACAGTAGCCTACTTTCAAATATTGCCTGCTATCACAGTCTGTAAATCTGTCAATGTAAATTAGGCCCATTGACCATATTCACTGCAATGAAATGGAAAGGGATTGGTTTAGTGTACAGTACCTGCTTAAGGCTGTTATCTTCCCAGAATGGTATCTCAATATGCCACCTACAAGAGTCAAAGCAGTGATAGAAATGGGCATCAATCAGATACCATAAGAGTAATTTGAGCAAAATAGCATTTTTTCATTACATGCAGCACATTTCCCCACTGTTAACTGTAACATCTGCATCAATAACGTCTGCCTGCTCACAGAGATCATACAAGAAAAGTTGTGAGATAACTCCCGCTACAATACTGTTCAGTGCTGTTCTGCAGACAGAACATGTTGCCAGATTGTATCACACCATTCCATTGTATTCTCCACAAACACCATTGCAGCTTTCATTGTATCACACACCACAACACAAAGCTTTGTGGTACCGTGGGGTCTGTGCTGTTGCGTGCACAAGGCAGAGGGATCCGGCTCTTACCCCATGTCCCCACAGCGTTGTCCACCCCTGAGGGGTTCCCATGGATGATCCTCTCCCCCTGAAACGCCCACCTGTTGATTAGCTCCATCTCCACCTCATCCCACCTGTTGAAACACAATGAAATACAGAAGAAATGATTACAATGAGGATTTACACTGGCCCTTCAAGCCCTATCTACATAGCCCTGCTGTCCCTCACTCTGTGCTTGTGATGAGTCCAGCCATGCCCATATTGACAGGTGAGGACATCAGAAACAAAGTCCAAACTGACTTCCAGAATTTATAACGGACTAGCATCCTCCAGTTGTGGCAACAGATTTAAGAAAAATGGGGATCTGAAAACGATCAAAATCTCTAAAGATGACTGAAAAACAAAATGTAGGATGCTGGAGAAACTGCGGCCAAACGGAAGCAAATTGTTCACATTGTGGGCAGAATATATTTGCATTGTCTGACTGTCTGGAGGGTGGAATAGCATATACAGTGGGGAGAACAAGTATTTGATACACTGCCGATTTTGCAGGTTTTCCTACTTACAAAGCATGTAGTGGTCTGTAATTTTTATCATAGGTACACTTCAACTGTGAGAGACGGAATCTAAAACAAAAATCAAGAAAATCACATTGTATGATTTTTTAATAATTAAATTTGCATTTTATTGCATGACATAAGTATTTGATCACCTACCAACCAGTAAGAATTCCGGCTCTCACAGACCTGTTAGTTTTTCTTTAAGAAGCCCTCCTGTTCTCCACTCATTACCTGTGTTAACTGCACCTGTTTGAACTCGTTACCTGTATAAAAGACACCTGTCCACACACTCAATCAAACAGACTCCAACCTCTCCACAATGGCCAAGACCAGAGAGCTGTGTAAGGACATCAGGGATAAAATTGTAGACCAGCACAAGGCTGGGATGAGCTACAGGACAATAGGCAAGCAGCTTGGTGAGAAGGCAACAACTGTTGCCGCAATTATTAGAAAATGGAAGAAGTTCAAGATGACGGTCAATCACCCTCGGTCTGGAACTCCATGCAAGATCTCACCTCGTGGGGTATCAATGATCATGAGGAAGGTGAGGGATCAGCCCAGAATTACACGGCAGGACCTGGTCAATGACCTGAAGAGAGCTGGGACCACAGTCTCAAAGAAAATCATTAGTAACACACTACGCCGTCATGGATTAAAATCCTGCAGCGCACGCAAGGTCCCCCTGCTCAATCCAGCGCATGTCCAGGCCTGTCTGAAGTTTGCCAATGACCATCTGGATGATCCAGAGGAGGAATGGGAGAATGTCATGTGGTCTGATGAGACAAAAATAGAGCTTTTTGGTCTAAACTCCACTCGCCGTGTTTGGAGGAAGAAGAAGGATGAGTACAACCCCAAGAACACCATCCCAATCGTGAAGAATGGAGGTGGAAACATAATTCTTTGGGGATGCTTTTATGCAAAGGGGACAGGACGACTGCACCGTATTGAGGGGAGGATGGATGGGGCCATGTATCGCGAGATCTTGGCCAACAACCTCCTTCCCTCAGTAAGAGCATTGAAGATGGGTCGTGGCTGGGTCTTCCAGCATGACAACGACCCGAAACACACAGCCAGGGCAACTAAGGAGTGGCTCCGTAAGAAGCATCTCAAGGTCCTGGAGTGGCCTAGCCAGTCTCCAGACCTGAACCCAATAGAAAATCTTTGGAGGGAGCTGAAAGTCCGTATTGCCCAGCGACAGCCCCGAAACCTGAAGGATCTGGAGAAGGTCTGTATGGAGGAGTGGGCCAAAATCCCTGCTGCAGTGTGTGCAAACCTGGTCAAGACCTACAGGAAACGTATGATCTCTGTAATTGCAAACAAAGGTTTCTGTACCAAATATTAAGTTCTGCTTTTCTGATGTATCAAATACTTATGTCATGCAATAAAATGCAAATTAATTACTTAAAAATCATACAATGTGATTTTCTTAGATTCCGTCTCTCACAGTTGAAGTGTACCTATGATAAAAATTACAGACCTCTACATGCTTTGTAAGTAGGAAAACCTGCAAAATCGGCAGTGTATCAAATACTTGTTCTCCCCACTGTACCAGGACTCTGCTAGTGGTGCTGCAGCAGCTACTAAATGAACTACAGTAACTGTAGATTAAGACATATGGCTTACAATGTTTTATTCATTTGTTCCATTAAACTGCTATTGAGAGATTCCTTTAAATGATTAAATGTTAATAGATCCAGTAGGGTATTTGGTGTGAGTTCATTACCTAGCTGTGTTTTCCTGGTCACTCAGTGGAGAAGGGATGGTCCCACTGGCAGAAAGCATGGCTGCAGCCAGGCACACAGAGTAGGCAGCGCTGGACCCCAGACCCGCTCCAGTTGGCAACTCTGACCACACAGACACCGTCAGGCTGGGCAACTCCCTGAGATGGACGAGAACCATTAACCAAATTCAATCAATTACTGCAAACATTCTCAGCTTTGCTTGCTTACATCTAGGAATGTGACTGTAGTATGATTTATTCAGCCTGGTTGGGTATGGCTGGGTGAAAAACTATAAAATGTGGATGAAAAAGCTAAATTAAATGAAAATATGTCCTTGAAACCACACAAAAATGGTGCAATTGTTTTTACCTGCTAGTGTTTGTAAACAGGTTTTTGGGCACTCAATCTCACACAGAAACCTCACACTTTGCAACAGCTCCTACAGCAAAAACATCCCCAAAAAGCACATTTCCTTTGATCTTAATCCAACTGGCCAAAGGGCCTAGGCACAGCAGTCCTTTTTATTGTGAACGACTAGTGTGGTGTGCATATGTGCATGGGTGTGACTGCAGTAGACTTGCTCCGCTGTCAATGTCCATGACAGCCAGGCTCTTTCTGGGCAGACAGGACAGGAGGATGCTCTAAACTAATTAAGGACCTGCTTTCCCCAGGGACAAACACATCCAGAATTGTTAAGGCTGCAGCGTGAGCCCAGTGCCAGCCTCTCATTAGTGGCTGTCCGTCCTGTCAGAGCCTGTCCACCCCTCTCTCAGACATGCTAGTATAGCGCCGACCGCGTCAACCCACGATTAGGCCAACTCCTTAGCATCTACCCAGCTCCTAGCTGCCCAAGTCTTTCTCACTAGGATGGGGTCTGTGGTGTTCATTAGGGAATTAAAGGTTTGGTTCTTGGTACCAAGATTAGCATTACCTTATGTTAACAGGCCTATATAAATCAATTTGCTCCATCAGTTGTCTCTCTTACCCTGACTTGGCAAAGACACAGAGGTAGATGTAGAGGAAGGCTAGGATGGCCATGCTGCGAGTATCCAAGGTTCCATTTGATACACCAACAAAGTTTCGCAGCATCCTGACAAGCTCTGCATCAAGCTCATTCACATTCCCCAGCTCAGCTGTGACAGAATGACACAAATAGATATTACAATAGGAGAATTAAACAAAACAACCACAACGATACCTTCAGCTGTTCTTCTAGAACTTTGCCAATAGTTTTTGGGTTCAAATCCAGTTCAGGCTATCTCCCAAATTTGCTACGTTGGTGTCTAGTGCTGAGTGATTAACCTAAATGTCTGTTCTTTTTCGTTTTTTAAACTAATAGACTGACATCGGTTCAATTATTTGAATTCCATTTCGTGTGAGCTCAATGCGCACATACGTTGCACAGTTTTTCTAGAGATAAATCAGATCGAGCCTGAACTGTGCGATGTAGTATGGAGTTGTAGTTTCCAACAGGCCAATATTCTACATACTTTAGTGCATAAAACATGGTCATTAAACCATAATCGAGAGACGGAAGAGGAAGCAGGTCGGTTTGCAGGAACGTATGGCGGATGGTTGGAAATGGTGGTGAGTAGTGTGGACGAAGTCGAGGAAATTGAGAAAAGGTTGGAGAAGCAACAGCTGTGATGGAATGCGATCAATATGGGTGACAGTTCTGATGATATGGAGTGGGAGGATGAGGCTCAAGGATCTGAATGGTCTGTAATGGAAAGACATAGGAAGAAGAGAGATCATGATACAGAAAGCAGTGGAGCATCTAGTATAGAAAGCATAAAGAGGGCCAAGGTAGGAAGCAAGAGTAATAATGTGTCGGATTGGAAAGTTGTGATGGTGTTTGAGTCCACGGGGCCTCATTTACACCCTTTCCGATTAACCAATGCCATAGAGAAAGAGACAGGTGAATTCAAACTAGCCCAGTTCATTGGAAATGTTAGACTTATGCTAGATTGAGGGGAGTCATCATTGGGGTCCCAATATCTATGTCCACAGATGATATTAAAGAAAATGTGAAGGGAGGCAGAGTGATTGAGACCAAAAGGTTGATCAGTAGGAAAGAGGGTCAAAGAAGTGAAAGCTTATCAGTGCTGCTGAGAAGGTTTTGCCTGGAAAAGTACAGATAGGATTCCTTAGTTTCAATGTCAGAAATGGAAAGCAGAAATGCCAGGTTGAAGGTTATTGTGGATACGACAAAATAGTTAGAGAGTAACAGATGTTACTGTCGAAATGGTTGTTGACATGCTGAATAATCCTAAGGGTGGATTGTTTCAGCATGATATAGATTAAGTTTATTGGGGTTGGGGTGCTTGATTGGGGGGATGGTGTGGTAGAAGTTAATATGGATTGATTTCTTTTCTTTTCTTAGTAGGGCAGAATTAGGCAGACCATGATTGATCGCACACTCCAGGACAGTAGGTGGCGGCATGCATCTTAAACGTTTGTTTGCGGACTGCCATGATATCATAGAAGGAGAAAAATAATAAGAAGCAGCAGCATAATCCATTGCGCATCTACTAGTCTGGTATGTTTGGTCTGTGTTTCTTTTACGCTTGCTACAGAAGAGGAAGAAGAATGCGCGATCGTGAGGGGATATAGAGAGCAGCTGTTGCTTCACGAGGTATCTCTACCTTAAAATACATGATCTAGGTAAAAGATAGTTGGTATTCAGCAGTCATAATTGTATGCCTTATTTACTTTGAAGAACTAAAAAATGGTGATATTGTCAGAAAGCATAGGCAGCAGCTCCATAGAAATGAGATGACTTGGAATGAAATAATAAAGTCATTAAATAAAACAAATGTAATATACACAACTGAAATATTTTAAAGTAAAGTAATGTGCATAAATGGTTAATAAGTGATGAGCAGTAATGGGCAGTCACTACCATCATGGGACTTTTATTAATTGTTTTATTCTGTGTGGTTACAGCATTTAATCCAAATAATTGAAACCGAAAACGTAATTATCTTTGAATAATTTAACCAAAACGACCTCAAAAAGCCCTAATCGCTCAGCACTACTGGTGTCAGAAGTGGAATAGAGCTGCTGGGAGGCCATTATGTCCCACAACATGGATGCCAGGAACCTGAAGAGCAGGGACAAGCTTTCCGAAGGAAGGGGGGTAGTGTAGCAACCTTAGTACAACACCTACCTTGTCAAGAGGTTCAAGCCTCTTGGTGTAATGGCTAAGGTGTTGGACTGACAGGGACCAGGGTTCAAATCCCACTTGGGTTACCATCCAAATTCGCTACTGTATATTTCAATCTGCCAGCCCTACAACATCTCACCTCCAGAGTCAGGGAGCAGCTGTTTCAACGCGGTCACATCCCAACTGAGGAAAGTGTTGATGTTGGGGAGATTGATGCAGACTTTACTGGTGGATGTGGCCTGCAACCGTAGGTATGTGCGCAGGTTCAAACTCACAGCCAGAGCCACCTAGCACGGGTTGGAGAGAAAATACCTCTGAATTATTGTTGTGGTTACTGTCAAATCAATTTAATTTCAACAACCAATCTTCTTTCGGTGCACATAAAATAATACACTGTCTGTCCTGGGGGTCATATGATGAACAAATCTAATGAATACATGAGTGCATAAAGATGATGGATTGGCATGGACAACTATCTTCAGTAAGATATTCATACAATAAAGTGAATCAGGCTCAAAATATACTGAACAAACATAAACGCAACATGTAAAGTGTTGGTCCCATATTTCATGAGCTGAAATAAAAAATCCCAGAATTCTTCCATATGCAAAAAAAACGTATTTCTCTCTAATTGTGTGCACAAATTTGTTTACATCCCTGTTAGTGAACATTTCTCCTTTGCCAAGATAATCCATCCACAGGTGTGGCATATCAAGAAGCTGATTAAACAGCATGATCATTACACAAGTGCACCTTGTGCTGGGGACAATAAAAGGCCACTAAAATGTGTAGTTTTGTTACACAACACAATGCCATATATGTCTCAAGTTGAGGGAGTGTGCAATTGGCATGCTGACTGCAGGAATGTCCACCAGAGATGTTGCCAAATAATTGAATATTAATTTCTCTACCATAAGCCATGGCGTTTTAGAGAATTTGGCAGTATGTCCAACCGGCCTCACAACCACAGACCACGTGTAACCACGCCAGCCCAGGACCTCCACATCCAACTTCTTCACCTGTGGGATCATCTGAGACCAGCCACCCAGACAGCTGATGAAACTGAGGAGTATCTCTGTCTGTAATAAAGCCTTTTTGTGGCGAAAAACTCATTCTGATTGGCTGAGCCTGGCTCTCAAGTGGGTGGGCATATGCACTCCCAGGCCCACCCATAGCTGCGCCCCTGCCCAGTCATGTGAAATCCATAGATTAGGCCCTAATTTATTTATTTCAATTAACTGATTACCTTATATAAACTGTAACTCAGTCAAATCGTTTGAAATTGTTGCATATATATGTATTCAGTGTATGTCTGTTGATCCTAGCAAATCACTGGCAGGTGTTAGAGATCCACCCACCGATACGATAGCTACTAACTAGAGCTCTACCGTTACTTACCTTGCCATGCACGACAGCGTGTTCTCCGTGGAGGATAGCTTTCCCTGGTGCAGACACGATACATTCCTTGATTTGCATTTTGATAGCAAATTCACTGTAGCAAAATGTAGCCTGCCAAGTAAATGTTGAATTGTTAGTAAAATAGCTAACGTTAGCAACCTTAGCTAGCTTTTCCCAGTTAATTCATCAGGAAAACGTCCTGTAGCTATATATAGTAATACCTCCAAACCACTCCGTATGATGAGGGGTTGTCTTTACAAACTCCCGTTGTATTTTTAGAAGGGATAAAGCGTCCTTATGAAGCTGTCAGCACTGTTTAAAACCATAATCTTGAAAACATCAAGCGACAGTGAATGGTCAACAGAACACAAGCAGCCAGCGGGGCATGCCACTGGTTTCATGTCCAATCAGCGCTAGAGGTAAGATGTACAGATATTTTGCTAGCCAATCAAAATCCTACTCTCTCCCTCGTGCCATTGGTCGTGTGATAAGATTGGCTCAGCCCACTAACATACGGATACCACCGATAGACAAGAGGCACAACGAGCGTTTTTATTTGATGTAAACATGGTTTCAATGATTACTAAGACATCTCACCTACGTTGTATCCTAAGAACAGGAACATGTTTAACTTTGAATTGGACAAAGACATCATTTGGATCAGAAAGAAGGTAGTTAGCTGTATGGTGTACCTCTCTTCTAATGCTACAATATTGTATCTTGTTTGGTAACTAGCTAGCTAGCTTTGACACCACTGTCAGCACACAGCTAGTTAGCTACACATTGTAGTCACACAGGTAGTGCAGTATAGAGAATGGGATCAATAAGAATGATTGTAACTAGATGACAGCTAGCTATGCTATCCAATAATGTTGTCTGCACTGATAGAGCTAGCCGAAAGATTTTTATTATCTTTTTCTCCTGGAAAGGTATGCCTCCAAAAGTGAGGGAGACAGCAGGACGCCCAAAATATACACTAAAACTGGCGATAAAGGTACATATGCAAGCAAGTCATTGCACATCGTATGGTCATTTCAACAAAGAATGCTTTGCTCATCTTCTTGTCATTGCCAAAGGTTTCTCTAGCACTTACACTGGAGAGAGAAGACCCAAGGAAGATCATGTGTTTGAAGCATTGGGAACAACAGATGAGCTGTCATCAGCAATAGGGTAATGTGATGTCCATTCCTTCTATTGGGTATTTTGCTTTGTTCCCCCTGAGTGAATGTATTCACTGTCTTGTGTTGTCTTCTACAGCTTGGCCAGAGAGTTTTGCATCGACAAAGGCCATACATTCACAGATCAGCTGGACAAGGTCTGAGTTTGAACTTATTCAGTTAATCTGGGTTGAGTAATGATGAACTTGTTATTTTTACTCAATGCTTACCTGCCTAACCCTACAGATTCAGTGTGTCTTACAAGATGTGGGTTCCAACATTGCCACACCTCGATCATCTGCAAGAGAAAGTCATATAAGTAAATATATTTCTGCAAATCATTTTGTAGAATCATTACACCCAGCTCACCCCAGCCAGTGGCCTTCACATTCTATTCATACTCTCTCTTATCTCACTCTTTCCAACAGAGAAAACCAAGTTCAGTTCCCAGCCAGTGATAGACCTGGAAAGCTGGATCGACGCATTCACAGAGGAGCTGCCACCACTGACAAATTTTATATTACCTGTAAGCACCCACACTGGATGAAACTTTTCTGCTTCTCAGAACTTTAATTTATAATGTGATGTGGAGTTGTGTGGAAGTATTGATGATATGTTTACAGGTTCAAATTACAAATAGTCTTACCATACTTCAAGGTAACACATCAGATGAGGTATTGCATATGTTAATCCATGTTTAAAGCAACTCAATACATGTGTATGGACATTTACTATGCAGTGATGTTAGTTATCAGGTCCCTTTGTGGGTGAATACATCTATGCATATTGGTTTGATGTGCTCCATATTTTTTACTTATCTCTGTCTGGTTACAGTCTGGAGGAAAGAGCAGTGCGGCCCTCCACATAGCACGGGCCGTGTGTCGCCGAGCAGAACGCAGGTCAGTTTGAGCTAATCATACGGTTGTTCAGACAACACTGTCCTAGAAACAGCCATATTAACTATAACACCAGTCTTATTTGTTCAGCGTTTCCCCTATAGTGCGGTCAGGTGAGGCCGATCCTGATGTTGCCACATTTTTGAACAGGTATGTTCCTGGTATAAATGTGCAGATGCATCATCATGTGTTTTAGAAAGTGGTGTGCTCTAGCTGATCAACATTCACCTCACGTCTGCCCACAGATTGAGCGACTACCTGTTTACAGTGGCCAGGTACACAGCCATGAAAGAAGGTAACAAGGAGACAATCTACAAAAGACCTGAGTGACACACATCTACACATGAATGAACAGACTGGGGACCTTTTGTGAAACAACATTTATTCTGTTTCAAGGTTGAATTCGTCATTGGCATTGGTTTATGTGAAAGACAGATTGATGATTGAAGTTTGAATATCTCGTAATGGAACATTCCAAATAAAGACTTGAATCCAAGTTGGACTAGAGGCGAAACCTTAACGTACTGATTTGCTTTTGATAAAATGTGGAAAAGCTGCTACAACAACCTGTGGTAATGTGACACCAGGATAATACAGAAAAAAATAAATTGAATTCTATAAAGAAGCGCGTATGTTACAATCCTGTATTGTGTTTGAAGCACACAATGTACATCGCTGTATTTAAATGTCACAGGTTGGATCACAACTAGAAGCTTCTTTATCAAGTATTTCAGAGAGCACTGAATGAATATCTTAATATCACATATACATAGTATTTCTACTGATGGGCTATCATGCCATGCTGCAGTAAATAAACTTGATGATCACCGTGACTGCATTAGCATCATGTTCTACATCTCAAATGTAAAGTGCTGAATATATTGTCATATTGGAGACCTATCACAACTGGTCCTCAGAACGTACTGTAGGTTCAGATATCCTCTTTTCACAATGGGCTTTACAGCATGGTTTCAACAACTATGGTGGATGTGTAATCAAGCCAGCACAGTACAGCTCAGCCCGGCTCAGTGTTGTAAAACTTGCACACGGTCACAGTATCTGGCACCAGCCCTGGCTCTTCTGGGAAAGGCTACTGGCCCAGGTCATAAGTGACAGATTGTGTTCCTCATATGGTGGGTAGCGCAGGTAGGTGACACACTCGATGCACGTGCTTCTGAGCAGGCATGATTTCCTGTGCGAGAAGGTGTCAAAGCTGTAGCGCCCATGGTAGGAACCCATCCCACTGGCACCTGACGGGTAGAGTAAAAATATATTTATTCATTCACTATGGTGCTGCCTGTCAGACCTTATTATGGAAGAGAGAGATCACAAGTCCATGGTTGTGTTCAGTAGGGAGATTTTTTTGGTTGAAAATTGAGATTCAGTTCTTGACACAAACCGGTACGACTGGCATGTACTACCATACCCTGTTACATTTTGTCTTGCCCATTCACCCTCTGAATGGCACACATACACAATCCATGTCTCAATTCTTAAAAATCCTTCTTTAACCTGTCTCCTCCCCTTCATCTACACTGATTGAAGTGGATTTAACAAGTGATATCAATAAGGGATGGCAAGAGCATTCATGTTTTTTATACTCAGTGTATATGTCCAACAAGAACAGATTTCTGCTGCAAAACATTTGATTACAGTATGTCCTACTGAACATGACCCCAGGTCTCTGTACTGAGAAGGGATGAAGACCTGAGGCATTAATCTGACCCAGGCAGACCATTCTCGAACCTACCTACTCCCCCAAAAGGCAGGACCACCATCAGGCTCTGCAGGACACTGTCATTGGAGCAGAAGCTCCCACTTGAGGTCTCACTCATTAGCCTTGAGATTACCTGCAGGGGAAGCAGAAAGAGGCATGACAGCCAGCGTATATTGTATGTGTATAATTGTGTGTAAGCTTGTGCCAGTCACCTTGCTGTTGCTAGAGTAAGCGTACACACAGAGAGGCTTCTCTCGCCGACAGATGAAGGAGATTGCCTCATCTACGCTGTTGACGGTCAGAATGGGCAGAACTGGGCCGAAAACCTCCTGCTGCATGATAGGGTCCGAGTCGATCACATCTGTCAGAATGGTTGGTGCTTCACACAGACAAATATTTAAAAATTTTAAATATGTACAACTACTGTGGTACAGCACAGACTATAAATCAGGTGCATATACCTGTAGGAATAGTTTCCTGGACACCAATTAAGCCTAATCCTGGACTAAAAAGCACTTTCAATGGAGATTCTCTGTTGAGCATGCTATTTTCACAGGACTATGCTTAATCTTTGTCAGGGAAACCAGGCCTTAATTTTGAAGAGATTCCACCTTCCTCATTCATTTACCAATGTATTTCTCTGCTTCATTCACTTGGCCTCCTACAGCCACTTTGCCAGACCTCCGCAGCGGGTCCGTGGTGCGGTGTAAGTTCTCCAGGTTCACCATGCGGCCAAAGCTCCTGGACTCCTGGGGGTCTGAACCATAGAACTGTAGGAGGCAGCAGCGCAGGGCCTGGAGCAGCTGTGTTTTGGCCTCGGCATGGCACAGGACGTAGTCGGGGGCTACCATACTCTGCCCGGCATTATGGAAGCGCGCCCAGGTGATGCGGCGTGCCGTAGTGGGGATGTCACACTGCTGATCCACGTAGCAGGGGTTCTTACCACCGCCCAAGACCAGGGTGACGGGTGTGAGCGTGCGGGCTGCTGCCTGTGCCACTCTGCCCCCATCCTCACGGTTTCCTAGGGGAACCATTATTACCTCACACACAGAGCACACACTGCTTCTGATACAACAAAGATTAGGAAGCAAAATTCAGATAAGATGATGGTGACATTTTTAATCTGACCCATTTTTTACCGGTGAAGAAAACATGATCAAATGTGAGGTCCACTATTTCAGTCAGGTCATTCACTCCTGCAAGGGTCACATGGTAACACTCCTTTGAAAAAGAGCAGGAATGTTTGTAGGTTAAAAGGTATACTCGTGTATATGACAGGTTACCAAAACAGCTACCTGTGTAACATTAAGTTCAACTCACATTGTCCAGGTATGACGGTATGAGGTGGTGTAGCAGCTCTGATGTGTGAGAACTACATTCTGAGGGGTTGAGGATCACACAGTTCCCTAAAAAACAAACAGATACACAACACAACAGTACAACGATTGGCAAGCAACATTCAGTATTGAATGCAAATGGAGGAGCATTGCGTTTGAGTGTGTGACACTTTGTGTATTGTTACCTGCGGCAATGGCCCCAACAAGGGGTACCAGACAGAGCTGAACAGGGCTACACCAGGCCCCCACAATCAGCACCACCCCCAGTGGCTCACACACCACCAGGCACTCGTCCAGCGTGGTGGTCTGCACCAATCAGAAGAAGGCAGAGGGGAGGAGCTCACATTACCCAGCCAACGGAAAAACTCATGAGTCACAGGTGAAACGTGCATACAGTCACTGTTTGGCATGACAATTCCATAAGAAGTTGGCAATAGAGCAGAAACAGACTGGCACCCAGACTATTCTAAGCGGTTTTGGCGGATTCAACACAATACATTGCTTTGTAGCTGAGAGACAGCACATGTTCTCTCAAAGATCATTTAACTAATTGATAATCCAAACAATGATATTTTTAGTGCCTTTAAAACTTGTGTATTACTACAAAGTCCAACTAACCCACCCTCCACACCTGGTCGTGTTCAGTAGGGTATACATAGCAAAAGGTTTTGCAACAGAAAAAAAAACCTGGTGTTCTTACTGGACAAATTCAGGTAGTAGTACCTCCCCATTTCACTCCATTTCAAAACGTTTCTCCCAACTGAACACGATCCAGTATTCAGAAAACGCACACACAGGCACCCTGTACCAGTCTTACCAGGTTCCTCTCCACACGTTGCGGCTCCATCCACTTCTTGAGGTTGTTGATGGCATGAAGAGCCTCACTCTTCACCAGTGTCAGTTCAGACACCACAGTCTCAAACCGCGGCTGGCAAAACACCACAAACGCTCAGGTTTCAGACAGAACGTTTGAACCTATAAGGTCCTGATGCTACCCGGTATCTTTACACTACTGATTACCTTGAAGATGAACATAAAATGGCACACAGTGATTTATTGGAGAACCAATGTCTGCCTTCTTCAGGAATGTTGATTCCCTAAAAAAAATCACTGGGAGTAATAAAGGTGAGGTATATATATATATATATATATATATATATATATTTTTGAAGACACCTGGTGCCACAAAATAATCAGCTGATTAACTCAAAACACCTGCAAAGGGCTTTAAATGGTCTCTCAGTCCAGTTCTGAAGCCTACACAAACATGGGGAAGACTTCAGATTTGACAGCTGTCCAAAAGGCGACCATCGACACATTGCACAAGGAGGGAAAGACACAAAAGGTTATTGCAGAAGAGGCTGGCTGTTCTCAGAGCTCTGTGTCCAAACACATTAATAGAGAGGCAAAGGGAAGGAAAAACTGTGGTCAGAAAAAGTGTACAAGCGATAGGGATCACCGCGCCCTAGTCAAGATTGTGAAAAAAAACCCATTCAAAAATGTGGGGGAGATTCACAAGGAGTGGACAGCTGCTGGAGTCAGGGCTTCAAGATCCACCACCAAGAGACGCTTGAAAGACATGGGTTTCAACTGCCGCATACCTCGTGTCAAGCCACTGTTGACCAAGAAACAGCGCGAAAAGCGTCTCACCTGGGCTAAGGAAAAAAAGAGCTGGACTGCTGCTGAGTGGTCTAAAGTCATGTTTTCTGACGAAAGCAAATTTTGCATTTCCTTTGGAAATCGAGGTCCCAGAGTCTGGAGGAAGACAGGAGAGGCACAGGATCCACGTTGCCTGAAGTCTAGTGTAAAGTTTCCACCATCAGTGATGGTTTGGGGTGCCATGTCATCTGCTGGTGTCGGTCCACTCTGTTTCCTGAGATCAAGGGTCAACGCAGCCGTCTACCAGCAAGTTTTAGAGCACTTCATGCTTCCTGCTGCTGACCTGCTCTATGGAGATGGAGATTTCAGGTTCCAACAGGACTTGGCGCCTGCACACAGCGCAAAATCTACCCGTGCCTGGTTTACGGACCATGGTATTTCTGTTCTAAATTGGCCAGCCAACTCCCCTGACCTTAGCCCCATAGAAAATCTGTGGGGTATTGTGAAAAGGAAGATGCAGAATGCCAGACCCAACAACGCAGAAGAGTTGAAGGCCACTATCAGAGCAACCTGGGCTCTCATAACACCTGAGCAGTGCCAGAAACTCATCGACTCCATGCCACGCCGCATTAATGCAGTAATTGAGGCAAAAGGAGCTCCAACCAAGTATTGAGTATTGTACATGCTCATATTTTTCATTTTCATACTTTTCAGTTGGCCAACATTTCTAAAAAATCCCTTTTTTGTATTAGCCTTAAGTAATATTCTAATTTTGTGACACACGGAATTTTGGATTTTCATTTGTTGCCACTTCAAATCATCAAAATTAAATGAAATAAACATTTGAATGCATCAGTCTGTGTGCAATGAATAAATATAATGTACAAGTTACACCTTTTGAATGCAATTACTGAAATAAATCAAGTTTTTCAAAATATTCTAATTTACTGACTTTTACCTGTATATATATATATATATATATATATATATATACACACTGCTCAAAAAAATAAAGGGAACACTAAAATAACACATCCTAGATCTGAATGAATGAAATAATCTTATGAAATACTTTTTTCTTTACATAGTTGAATGTGCTGACAACAAAATCACACAAAAATTATCAATGGAAATCAAATGTATCAACCCATGGAGGTCTGGATTTGGAGTCACCCTCAAAATTAAAGTGGAAAACCACACTACAGGCTGATCCAACTTTGATGTAATGTCCTTAAAACAAGTCAAAATGAGGCTCAGTAGTGTGTTTGGCCTCCACGTGCCTGTATGACCTCCCTACAACGCCTGGGCATGCTCCTGATGAGGTGGCGGATGGTCTCCTGAGGAATCTCCTCCCAGACCTGGACTAAAGCATCCGCCAACTCCTGGACAGTCTGTGGTGCAACGTGGCGTTGGTGGATGGAGCGAGACATGATGTCCCAGATGTGCTCAATTGGATTCAGGTCTGGGGAACGGGCGGGCCAGTCCATAGCATCAATGCCTTCCTCTTGCAGGAACTGCTGACACACTCCAGCCACATGAGGTCTAGCATTGTCTTGCATTAGGAGGAACCCAGGGCCAACCGCACCAGCATATGGTCTCACAAGGGGTCTGAGGATCTCATCTCGGTACCTAATGGCAGTCAGGCTACCTCTGGCGAGCACATGGAGGGCTGTGCGGCCCCCCAAAGAAATGCCACCCCACACCATGACTGACCCACCGCCAAACCGGTCATGCTGGAGGATGTTGCAGGCAGCAGAACGTTCTCCATGGCGTCTCCAGACTCTGTCACGTCTGTCACATGTGCTCAGTGTGAACCTGCTTTCATCTGTGAAGAGCACAGGGCGCCAGTGGCGAATTTGCCAATCTTGGTGTTCTCTGGCAAATGCCAAACGTCCTGCACGGTGTTGGGCTGTAAGTACAACCCCCACCTGTGGACGTCAGGCCCTCATACCACCCTCATGGAGTCTGTTTCAGACCGTTTGAGCAGACATGCACATTTGTGGCCTGCTGGAGGTCATTTTGCAGGGCTCTGGCAGTGCTCCTCCTGCTCCTCCTTGCACAAAGGCGGAGGTAGCAGTCCTGCTTCTGGGTTGTTGCCATCCTACGGCCTCCTCCACGTCTCCTGATGTACTGGCCTGTCTCCTGGTAACGCCTCCATGCTCTGGACACTACGCTGACAGACACAGCAAACCTTCTTGCCACAGCTCGCATTGATGTGCCATTCTGGATGAGCTGCACTACCTGAGCCACTTGTGTGGGTTGTAGACTCCGTCTCATGCTACCACTAGAGTGAAAGCACCGCCAGCATTCAAAAGTGACCAAAACATCAGCCAGGAAGCAAAGGAACTGAGAAGTGGTCTGTGGTCACCACCTGCAAAACCAGTCCTTTATTGGGGGTGTCTTGCTAATTGCCTATAATGTCCACCTGTTGTCTATTCCATTTGCACAACAGCATGTGAAATGTATTGTCAATCAGTGTTGCTTCCTCAGTGGACAGTTTGATTTCACAGAAGTGTGATTGACTTGGAGTTACATTGTGTTGTTTAAGTGTTCCCTTTATTTTTTTGAGCAGTGTATATATATATATATACACACACACATATATACACATTTACATAAGTATTCAAACCCTTTACTCAGTACTTTGTTGAAGCACCTTTGGCAGCGATTACAGCCTTGATTCTTCTTGGGTATGACTCTACAAGCTTGGCACAACCTGTATTTGGGGAGTTTCTCCTATTGTTCTCTGCCGATCCTCTCAAGCTCTGTCAGGTTGGATGGGGAGCGTTGCTGCACAGCTATTTTCTCTCCAGAGATGTTCGATCTGGTTCAAGTCCGGGCTCTGGCTGGGCCACTCAAGGACATTCAGAGACTTGTCCCGAAGCCAATTCTATGTTGTCTTGGCTGTGTGCTTAGGGTTGTTGTCCTGTTGGAAGGTGAAACTTCGCCCTAGTCTGAGGTCCTGAGTGCTCTGGAGCAGGTTTTCATTAAGGATCTCTGTACTTTGCTCTGTTCAGCTTTGCCTCGATCCTGACTAGTCTCCCAGTCCCTGCTGCTGAAAAACATCCCCACAGCATGATGCTGCCACCACCACCATGCTTCACCGTAGGGATGGTGCCAGGTTTCCTCCAGAGGTAACGCTTGGCATTCAGGCCAAAGAGTTCAATCTTGGTTTCATCAGACCAGAGAATCTTGTTTCTTATAGTCTGAGAGTCTTTAGGTGCCTTTTGGCAAACTCCAAGCGGGCTGTCATGTGCCTTTTACTGAGGAGTGGCTTCCGTCTGGCCACTCTACCATAAAGGCCTGATTGGTTGAGTGCTGCAGAGATGGTGTCCTTCTGGAAGGTTTTCCCATCTCCAGAGAGGAACTCTAGAGCTCTGTCAGAGTGACAATTGGGTTCTTGGTCACCTCCCTGACCAAGGCCCTTCTCCCCCGATTGCTCAGTTTGGCCGGGCGGCCAGCTCTAGGAAGAGTCTTGGTGGTTCCAAACTTCTTCCATTTAAGAATGATGGAGGCCACTGTGTTCTTGGGGACCTTCAATGCTGCAGACATTTTTTGGTACCCTTCCCCAGATCTGTGCCTCGACACAATCCTGTCTCGGAGCTCTACGGACAATTCCTTCGACCTCATGGCTTGGTTTTTATAGACCGGTGTGTGCTTTTCCAAATCATGTCCAATCAATTGAATTTACCACAGGTGGACTCCAATCATGTTGTAGAAACATCTCAAGGATGATCACTGGAAACAGGATGCACCTGAGCTCAATTTCAAGTCTCATAGCAAAGGGTCTGAATACTTATGTAGATAAGGTATGTTTTTTTATTTTCAAGAAATTTGCAAACATTTCTAAAAACCTGTTTTCACTTTGTCATTATAGGGTATTGTGTGTAGATGGATGAGGGGGAAAAATGATTTAATCAATTTTAGAATAAGGCTGTAACGTAACAAAATGTGGAATAAGTCAAGGGGTCTGAATACTTTCCAAAGGCACTGTATATATATATATATATATATATATATTGTTGTTATTATCTACTGGTCTGCACCTTGTCAACCTCTTTAGCTCCTACTAAACTATGGAGGTTGTACTCCATCTGGAGTACAACCTCTGTACACCCACCTTATGGAGGTCCCTCCCGAGTGAATCCACAAAGTCACACTCGTGTTCCACCAGCATGCGCACAAGGGCTTCCAGTTGGGCCTGTCTGAAGCTCTCGTCGAATGCGCGGCCAGCTTGGAAGGCTGCTCTGGCCCTTTTCAGCAGCTCCACACACTCTAAAAGACGGGTCTTCATGCAGGGCTCCTCCAGCCTGTTCCTAAAACACATTAGACAAAAGCCAGTGTATTCCTATGTGTAACGAAAACGAGTCTTGTAGTTAGTATTACAGATTAAATCATATTCAGTACACCTTCTGTAGGTTAGGCTGCCATTCCTTTTGCATGCATAACATGCTCTTGCTTTGCCCCGCATGCTTCCTTCTACACTGTTATTCTGTATAATGTTAATCTCAAACAGGCTTACAGATACACTACATGGCCAAACGTATGTGGACACCTGCTCGTCGAACATCTCATTCCAGAATCATGGTAATTGATATGGAGTTGGTCCCCCCTTTGCTGCTATAACAGCCTCCACTCTTCTGGGAAGGCTTTCCACTAGATGTTGGAACATTGCTGCGGGGACTTGCTTCCATTCAGCCACAAGAGCATTAGTGAGGTCGGGCACTGATGTTGGGTGATTAGGCCTGGCTCGCAGTCAGTGTTCCAATTCCTCCCAAAGGTGTTCGATGGGGTTGAGGTCAGGGCTCTGTGCAGGCCAGTCAAGTTCTTCCACAGCGATCGACAAACCATTTCTGTACGGACCTCACCTTGTGCATGGGGGCATTGTCATGCTGAAACAGGAAAGGGCCTTCCCCAAACTGTTGCCACAAAGTTGGAAACACAGAATAATCTAAAATGTAATTGTATGCTCTAGCGTTAAGATTTCCCTTCACTGGAACTAAGGGGCCTAGCCCGAACCATGAAAAACAGCCCCAGACCATTATTCCTCCTCCACCAAACTTTACAGTTGGCACTATGCAGTCGGGCAGGTAGCATTCTCCTGGCATCCGCCAAACCCAGATTCGTCTGTCAGACTGCCAGATGGTGAAGCGTGATTCATCACTCCAGAGAAGGTGTTTCCACTGCTCCAGAGTCCAATGGCGGCGAGTTTTACACCACTCCATCCGACGCTTAGCATTGCACATGGTGATCTTAGGCTTGTGTGCGGCTGCTCGGCCACGGAAACCCATTTCATGAAGCTCCCAACGAACAGTTAATGTGCTGTTGTTGCTTTCAGCAGCAGTTTGGAACTCGATAGTGGTGCAACCGAGGACATGCGATTTTTACGAGCTACGCTTCAGCACTCGGCAGTCCCGTTCTGTGAGCTTGTGTGGCCTACCACTTCACGGCTGAGCCGTTCTTGCTCCTAGACGTTTCCACTTCACAATAACAGCACTTACAGTTGACCAGGGCAGCTCTAGCAGGGCAGAAATTTCACAAACTGACTTGTTGGAAAGGTGGCAACCTATGATGGTGCCATGTTAAAAGTCGCTGAGCTCTTCAGTAAGGCCATTCTACTGCCAATGTTTGTCTATGGAGATTGCATGGCGGTGTGCTCAGTTTTATACACCTGTCAGCAACGGGTGTGGCTGAAATAGCCGAATCCACTAATTTGAAGGGGTGTCCACATACGTTTGGCCATGTAGTGTATATGCCTGGTGAAAAGTGTGTGCCAAACAGAGGACAGGCCCTGGGCAGTATCCATACCATTAAACCCCCAGTATCAGAGGAAAATGACTCAGCCAATCAGGTTGTCTGGAAACCTGTTGAATTGCATTTAATTCTACATTGGGCAGGAATGAGTGTTTCAATAAGGAAAGTTTCCTCTCACGACCTCTACAAGCCAGAATGGTGAATACAATTATATTTTAATGTACTTTACCGGTTGTCCTTGTGGTTGGTCCTTTGGGCGGTACGAATGTGCGACAATATATCCACAGGAAAGTATAATTACATACACTTTTCAAAGCGCTGGTAGAGCGTTTAGTTTTCTATCACCTGAAGCATGCGCACAAGATCCAAATACGTGCATGAGAGGCATGCATACTTGCCAAGCTGGTGCACATGTTTATATGGTTCTGTGCATGGTTCAGGTGATAGAAATCTGAATGCACTACTTATTATTATACTTTCCTGTGGATATATTGTCGCACATAGCTACGGCACCGACAACCGGTAAAGTACCTTAAAATAACATTCTGGCTTGTAGAGGTGGTGAGAGGAACATTTCCTGATTGAAACACTCATTTCTGCCCACCTAGACGTCGGGTTTCCAGGCAAACAATCAGGCAATCAAAGATATGAGAATCAATCAAAGATATGGTGGTCCTCTGTAGCTCAGCTGGTAGAGCACGGCGCTTGTAACGCCAGGGTAGTGGGTTCGATCCCCGGGACCACCCATACACAAAAATGTATGCACGCATGACTGTAAATCGCTTTGGATAAAAGCGTCTGCTAAATGGCATATTATTATTATTATTTGAATAATTAAGAAATGAAGTTGTTCGAAGCTGTCACATCAACTTTTTGAAAGATAAGTAATATATCAAAGATGAACAAAGTTTAACAATATACCTTAAGTTTGAGCAACAAAAGTAAATCAATAAAAAACATTACTGCGTGTTACTGCCAAAGTGATTCAAGTGAATTTAGACAGAGATTTGGGATGTGTCTGACTAGTTTTAATGTAGGCAACTTACCTCCGCAATGCTTTGAACCAGCGCGTTGGAGGAGTACTCATGGTTTTTGAGATGCAATGATCGTTAAAATAAACTGAACTACTTTTTAAAGTGTATGAAGAGGACGCATTGAAATTCAGGCTCACCTGACCCAAATTTGAGTAGACTGACAGATAGGTCTTCGGGCATGCGCAGTAGCCTATAAACCGCTATAGCCTAGTCGGGGAGGGTTAGTGCTATCGCTTATCCTTGGGACGCCCCCCACCCTAAACCATAACCAGGGTTACAAAATTCCGCTAATTTCAATATATTCCCTGGTTTTCCCGAAATCCCGGTTGGAGTGTTCCCGGAATCAAGATGGAATAAGCAGGAAATCTGGACTCCTCCAACCAGGTTAACCATTTTAAATTTCAACGGGGTAGGGACGTCCCAAGGATCCCGGATAGCAAGGACCATTCAGGGAGGTGAAACGATCAGAACTTTGCAGATAGAAATGTAATAAATAGAAAACTGACAGTCTGACACACGAATCCATGACATAACCTGTTCTACACAGCTGCTATTTCATTATTTAATATATAAATACCTCTGCACTATACAGAACTTCTCCCGTAGAAAATAATGGCTTGATTCCTGAAGAAATAAGACACACTCATTTTAGTTGTTAAGTAAAGTTTTTAGAATAAATATGGTTAACATGAACAGAAATATCTTACACATAGACATGTTTTACATTGAAATAACCTTTTCAACAACCTGTATTTCACATAGTGCAACCAGTTTCAAAGACACTTTTAAAAAGGAGGGAGGCAACAGTACTTTCATAGGAGTATGTTGCACATTTCCTGGATTTTTTTTTCTTCTAAAAAAGATAGCAAGATCTCATGACATCATTTAAAAGTGAGGAGCGACCTCATCAAACACAACAGGGATCTTCCATTCTCTCTTGGACACTGAACATTTCTGTCTCTCACTGCAGCTCCATTTCCAAACCTCATTTCTAATCTGCATCAGGCTGTTGAAACAATTGATTGAAAGAATTGATGGGTAACATTTAGTCAGACACCACTGAGGTCATTGACCACTGATTAGTCAGAGAGGCCACAGTCAGAGGCCCTTGGGAATGAAATATCACAGTCACAACCGACTGAAAATTGAGGTAAGATCTTTCCATATACTGTAGTCACTAATGGTTGTTTTTTCAATTTGTCAATGAAATTGATGGCATTCATAACTGGGGGGAAATACCTGTAGATTGTACCCCTTAATATTACTATACACAGACAAATAGATCACAGATTTCAGTTCATTGGTAGATTTAAGTAGCGAAGCAATATAAAACCATATAGAACCTTGTTTAGTGGCCCATAAAATCCCCATATCATCATCAGAAAGGTGTTTTTCTGTTAACTAGTAATTAATGATTAATGGCGTAAGGTGTTTTATGCCTTCAACCAAAGATGACAACAACCAGAGCCGTATCTATGGTTGACCACAACCACGCAGTTCACACACGTACGCCACTCATGAAACAGTTCTGCATAAAATACAGAATCAACAAACAGGCTATTTATATTTCACTTCATTCAAATCAAGACCCTAAACTGCCTTGTCTCCCACCACCTTGTCACTAACAACTGCCCCATATAGTCTATTTTTATTTGACCCTGTTAATGCAACATTTTGCATGGTATAATTCCTTCTTATCCTTAATTTCAACGTTTTTTGTAATGTTTTTTCACACAAAAAGAGCAGGGTTTTCTGTGCAAGAGAGTGGTTAAGAAAATAGGGGGTCTGAAGGAGGGTAGATAGATACAAAAGCAATGCTTTCAGATTCAGGTGATCAACCAACCCATGACATCATGTTGTAGTATGGTTTGCTCCCTGTGTAACCCCTTTCCATGTGGATGTAAGGTCCACAGACACAAGGGTTGGCATGCACAGTCAGTGACAAATGACACCAACATTTCCTGGTTTGGTTGGTTGGTTTGTTTAGTGGTGGACACAGTAGAGAGAGCGTTGGAATTGAATTGTCTCTAAGCAGGCTCAAGTCCTTATAAATACCTTGTCCTATGTGTTTATGGCTTGATTCCATTTCGAAGAGACATGGTCATTCACAAACACTTTCAAACACCACACTTAGACATATGAGCTGGGGACACACGAGGCACTCAGCATTTTTCAGAGGTGTAGTGAGAATTCTTCTGTGAAATCCTAGTGTATAGAAAGATTTTCATCATTGACTTCACTGTAACAGATTTGTTTGGAAAGATCACATTCAGCAACATGCAATGCGGAAAAAACAACAATTGTAAAAGTTGTCTGCTGTAGTTATAGGACCCAGATATTTCACAGCAAATCATATAACACATTCAAGAGCCACTGATTCATTATCAAAAGCAACCAAAAAAAGAGACTCCGGAACCACGACAGAAGATAACGGGACATCGTTTGTCTGTATCAAACAACCGCATGATCAGCGAAAGTATTGACAGTGTCGTGTTCATTTTTTACATGACAGACAGGCATCACTTTGGGTTACAAATGCATTGCTGTGTAACATGAGTTCTAATTTCAATACATTAGAGAACAGAGATACAGGGTCCAATGCTTTTGTCAGGTGACTGACTGTAGTGTGTGTATATGGGGAGAGAAAGAGACAGATCGTCAGGATTTAATTCCTTAATTAATCCATGAGAGCCAATATAAATATGACACAGGCGTCAACAGGCGACCACCTCTCCATGGTCAGAACTTGTTGTTGAACATGAGGCAGTGATTTGTCGTCTCTTTATAAAAAGGTGCTTTCGTCATGTTCAACAAGGCTATTAAGACTCATCGAATGACAGTTGAAAGTTGCATGGATAACATTGTATTCCAATAGATAGGAAACTTTGTTCTATGGTTTTGCTCCAGTGAGGAGTCTATTGCGTGTCTAATGGCTTGCATTGCATCTATATTGCTTTCCAGTTAATTTGACGTGGGAGTGCTAGATCCAAGTATCGTTCTATTAAGCCTGAGAAGAAATAGTAAAACATGGAGCCATTTTAGTTTGCCAATGTGTTAGGTAACACATTCTTCTCCTCCTTGTTACGATTATTAGCATGGGGTTGGTTTTCAGGAGCGTTAAAGTTGAGAGAGTAGAAAGTGACCGTTCCAAATGTGTTGCTCCCACAGCACTTGTTTCTTTAGCTACTTGTCTATTTGAAGAAAACAATCTAACATAGGCAATGACTACAACTTGTCAGAAAATAGGTTACCCTGGTTACACAGGCAGCAAATGGGCTTGAGAGCCCTTGAGGTGGGTGGAGTTTCCAGAATCCAGTCTGATTGGGGTAAAAGAGGGTGGAGCTCTTCTGGTTTCCTAGGCTGGGATAAAGGAAAGGGGGGTATCTTATGTGTTTTGCCTTCCGCTTTGGTGAAGCGCCACTGACTTGACTGACTCCCACCTCTAGCCTGGGTAAGGAGGACGCTCTTTAGTCGTTCTCCCTTTAGTTTTGCAGGCAGCAGGCCACAAGCAGGGGAGAGTTTATTTTAGGAGAGCTCAAAACCTGTGTTCATACTGGTGGCGTAGCGGAGCTTGTCACGCAGGATGCTCTTCTTGCTGTAGTTAGGCAGCTTGAGCAGGTTGAAGCAGGTGGACGAGGTGGGGAGGCGACCGCCTGGTTCCTTCTTCCGGATGGTGAAGAAACCCCGGAGGACGCTGCCTAGGGTGTCGCCAGTGTCCTACAGAGAGACAGGCGACAGGAGCACACATACACATGAACACACAGCGACCCAAAGTAGTCCCAAGGGACTGACTTCCCAAAGCTATTTTCTTCTTCAACAAAAAGGCCATAGTTCAATGGAGAGTAGCAGGGGTGCTGGTGTCGGTGTGCGGTTGTAGAGCTGGGACGATAAACAGAAAATGATCGACACTGATCACTTATCGCAGGCATTTTGCTGATATCGTTCATTACGATAAGTAGCCTATGCTAGAGAAAAGTAAAGTTTGAAATGAAATAAGTTTGCTAATATGGGTGATTGTTAATGGGACAATTGATGGCTACAACCATCAAACTAGTAGTAGTAATTTAAAAGGATAATTTTAAACTGGTGCACATTCATGTTATAAACTTATAGTTCAGTTTATCATTATCACATCAAATCAGGCAATTTATCACGCTATGGATTTTTGTCCATATCGCCCAGCTCTATGTATAAACATCTGACTTTAGACTACGATTACAGTGTTCTCACCTGATCGTCAGACACCTCCACACAGCGGATGGAGAAAGGGGGCTTGAGGTAGGCAAAACCTAGGAGGGGGGGTCTTGAACAGCTGGTGACAAACTGTAACTCAAGAACAACAACAATGGACGATCACATAACAGGTACAAGTCTCAAACTGGTGGCCCGCAAGCCGATTTAATGCAGTTAAATGAATGAATGGTAAAATGGTCCCGTGTAGCTCAGTTGGTAGAGCATGGCGCTTGCAACGCCAGGGTTGTGGGTTCGTTTCCCACGGGGGGCCAGTATGAAAAAATGTATGCACTCACTAACTGTAAGTCGCACTGGATAAGAGCGTCTGCTAAATGACTAAAATGTAAATGTAAAATAAAAAATGTGTAACATTTGGGGGTGGTTATTACCTTGAGGAACATGGCCCTTTCCTCAGCTGAGAAGTCACTGGACAGGATGTCCCACAGCCAGATGATGACCCGATGGCTGCTGTGGAAACCTCCATAGTAAACTGTGTGTTTCCTGACAACAAGAGAGAGACGAAGAGAGAGGGAGACAGAAAGAGAGAGAGAGAGCAACAGAGTGATAGAAAGAGATATCGAGAGAGAGACCATGTCAGCGAGCACCTACACCTTGGCTTCATTACCTTCTTACAAAGTCAGCTCATTGTCCGCGAAACAATGAAATGGGACATTCACACTATTTGAACACTGTGGATTTCAGGATTTCCCTAAAATCTTTTGAGAATTGGCAGGTTGAAGAGCTGTCGAGTAACAACAGTAGAGTGACGTGGAGGGGGAGAGGCTGGTCGGGGTGAAAAGGGTTGAAAGTTACGCACTTGAGGTCATCCAGGTCAATCTCGGCGTTGTCCCCAGAGACGAGGCGCTGGACCTCGGGGGTGGAGAACATGTGCAGCCACTCGGGGTTGATGATGCTGCGGTATCCTCGGATGAAAGCTGCTGTCTGCTCCTTGATCTGCGTGTGCATGCGGAAGTGCGCCATCAGATGGATGTAGCTGATCCTGCAGCACGGAGAAGGTCAAAGGTAAGGTTAAGTCAGACTCATAACACCATGGCACAGAGGAGCAAACTTCTCAAGACTTCCGGGAACGCTTGCGAAGCAGACCAGGGTTGAGAAGTCAATGAGAGAAGTGAAAAATTCTTCCTTGTTAATTTCCCCTAAATCTAAAGGTACAACCTAGATTTGAGCCTATGTCTTAAGTAGTTGAACATGGTATTACTCCAACCTTGTGAAAGTGACAAACTGACACGTTTTCATTTTCGTCAAAAAACACTTTATATCGAAGAAGTGCCTTTGATTTGACGGCCTGCACATGCGCAGTTCAGCGAGAGACGACTGTTAGACCCGATGACGTATTTCTGCGCATGATTTTAGCTAGCCAACGTCGCCATGACATCGCCTACAAGCGTGATCAGGATTTTTATTGGAGAAACAGTTTCTGCCCATCTTCATACTGTACCGTCTGTCTAGAAACAACCCCCTAGCCCTTCCCTCCTAGCCACTTGTGAACATACAGTTGAAGTCGGAAGTTTACATACACTTAGGTTGGAGTCATTAAAACTCCACACATTTCTTGTTAACAAACTATAGTTTTGGCAAGTCGGTTAGGACTTTGTGCATGACAAGTAATATTTCCAACAATTGTTTACAGACAGATTATTTCACTTATAATTCACTGTATCACAATTCCAGTGGGTCAGAAGTTTACATACACTAAGTTGACTGTGCCTTTAAACAGCTTGGAAAATTCCAGAAAATGATGTCATGGCTTTAGAAGCTTCTGATAGGACATCATTTGAGTCAATTGGAGGTGTACCTGTGGATGTACAGTGGGGGAAAAAGTATTTAGTCAGCCACCAATTGTGCAAGTTCTCCCACTTAAAAAGATGAGAGAGGCCTGTAATTTTCATCATAGGTACATGTCAACTATGACAGACAAAATGAGAAAAAAAATCCAGAAAATCACATTGTAGGATTTTTAATGAATGTATTTGCAAATGATGGTGGAAAATAAGTATTTGGTCAATAACAAAAGTTTCTCAATACTTTGTTATATACCCTTTGTTGGCAATGACACAGGTCAAACGTTTTCTGTAAGTCTTCACAAGGTTTTCACACACTGTTGCTGGTATTTTGGCCCATTCCTCCATGCAGATCTCCTCTAGAGCAGTGATGTTTTGGGGCTGTCGCTGGGCAACACAGACTTTCAACTCCTTCCAAAGATTTTCTATGGGGTTGAGATCTGGAGACTGGCTAGGCCACTCCAGGACCTTGAAATGCTTCTTACGAAGCCACTCCTTCGTTGCCCGGGCGGTGTGTTTGGGATCATTGTCATGCTGAAAGACCCAGCCACGTTTCATCTTCAATGCCCTTGCTGATGGAAGGAGGTTTTCACTCAAAATCTCACGATACATGGCCCCATTCATTCTTTCCTTTACACGGATCAGTCGTCCTGGTCCCTTTGCAGAAAAACAGCCCCAAAGCATGATGTTTCCACCCCCATGCTTCACAGTAGGTATGGTGTTCTTTGGATGCAACTCAGCATTCTTTGTCCTCCAAACACGACGAGTTGAGTTTTTACCAAAAAGTTATATTTTGGTTTCATCTGACCATATGACATTCTCCCAATCCTCTTCTGGATCATCCAAATGCACTCTAGCAAACTTCAGACGGGCCTAGACATGTACTGGCTTAAGCAGGGGGACACATTTGAGTCCCTGGTGGCGTAGTGTGTTACTGATGGTAGGCTTAGTTACTTTGGTCTCAGCTCTCTGCAGGTCATTCACTAGGTCCCCCCCGTGTGGTTCTGGGATTTTTGCTCACCGTTTTTGTGATCATTTTGACCCCACGGGGTGAGATCTTGCGTGGAGCCCCAGATCGAGGGAGATTATCAGTGGTCTTGTATGTCTTCCATTTCCTAATAATTGCTCCCACAGTTGATTTCTTCAAACCAAGCTGCTTACCTATTGCAGATTCAGTCTTCCCAGCCTGGTGCAGGTCTACAATTTTGTTTCTGGTGTCCTTTGACAGCTCTTTGGTCTTGGCCATAGTGGAGTTTGGAGTGTGACTGTTTGAGGTTGTGGACAGGTGTCTTTTATACTGATAACAAGTTCAAACAGGTGCCATTAATACAGGTAACGAGTGGAGGACAGAGGAGCCTCTTAAAGAAGAAGTTACAGGTCTGTGAGAGCCAGAAATGTTGCTTGTTTGTAGGTGACCAAATACTTATTTTCCACCATAATTTGCAAATAAATTCATTAAGAAATCCTACAATGTGATATTCTGGAGAAAAAATTTTCTCAATTTGTCTGTCATAGTTGACGTGTACCTATGATGAAAATTACAGGCCTCTCTCATCTTTTTAAGTGGGAGAACTTGCACAATTGGTGGCTGACTAAATACATTTTTTCCCCATTGTATGTCAAGGCCTACCTTCAAACTCAGTGCCTCTTTGCTTGACATCATGGGAAAATCTAAAGAAATCAGCCAAGAAACTGTAGACCTCCACAAGTCTGGTTCATCCTTGGGAGCAATTTCCAAACGCCTGAAGGTACCACGTTCATCTGTACAAACAATAGTACGCAACTATAAACACCATGGGACCACGCAGCGGTCATACCATTCAGGAAGGAGCGTTCTGTCTCCTAGAGATGAACGTAATTTTTGCGAAAAGTGCAAATCAATCCCAGAACAACAGCATAGGACCTTGTGAAGATGCTGGAGGAAACAGGTACAAAAGTATCTATATCCACAGTAAAACAAGTCCTATATCGACTTAACCTGAAAGGCCGCTCAACAAAGAAGAAGCCACTGCTCCAAAACCACCATAAAAAAAACAGACTACGGTTTGCAATTGGAGTGGCCATCACATGTGTGGGCAGAACTGAAAAAGCGTGTGCGAGCAAGGAGGCCTACAAACCTGACTCAGTTACACCAGCTCTGTCAGGAGGAATGGGCCAAAATTCACCCAACTTATTGTGGGAAGCTTGTGGAAGGCTACCCGAAACGTTTGACCCAAGTTAAACAATTCAAAGGCAATGCTACCAAATACTAATTGAGTGTATGTACACTTCTGACCCACTGGGAATGTGATGAAAGAAATAAAAGCTGAAATAAATCATTATCTCTACTATTATTCTGACATTTCACATTCTTAAAATAAAGTGGTGATCCTAACTGACCTAAAACAGGGAATTTTTACTAGGATTAAATGTCAGGAATTGTGAAAAACTGAGTTTAAATGTATTTGGCTAAGGTGTATGTAAACTTCCAACTTCAACTGTATGAATGGATTTAATATATATAATAAGCAATGATAGGTATAATACGCAATGCAAGTACATCTACTATGCCCATCAGATCCTTTTAGATCTCCACAAGTGTCTAAGGGGGGCTAGGGGCTAGAGGTTATTTCTGGGCCGGGACCCATGTCATCATCCAACACAATTTGTTATAACTACAGGGACAATAAATACATCTTGTATTTGGCAAACGATGGTGTGAACATCAAACGGCTTTAACAACTTTAACATCTAAGTTTAGTTGTATATCAGTGGTTCTCAAACCTCTCCTCTGGGCCCCTTAGACGTTTCACCATTTTGTTGTAGCACTGAACTAGCTCACCTGATTGACCTAGTCAAGGGCTTGATGATTAGTTGACATGTTGAATCAGGTGGGCTAGCTCTGGAATAGATCAAATACACGGAATGGGTGGGGGTCCTCGAGGAGAGGTTTGAGAACCACTTACAGTATCTAGAAACTGGATCTGCATCTTGCTCACTTGTTTTCGTTTGTGACTGGCATCGTCTTTCCTCCAGGAATCAGCTCGTGACAGACCAGCTGCCAGGAAACATGAAGAGAGTATTAAAAGAGATAAGAGCAGAGTTCTGTTTTCCTGCATTCAGAGAAAGAATATAGTTTCTACCTGTCCCATAACATCCTCGTCATACGATAGCGTCAGTCCCAAATCACCAACATCCCCGTCGTAGCGCTGGAAAAGGACAAGACCAAGATCAACCACCCATTTTGAGTCAACTTCCACAACTTGGAGTGATATTGATCGCAAAAAGTAGCAACAAAGCAAAACAAACGTCTCAAATCTAAAGAGCGCAATTATAACCATAAACCAGGGTCGTGTTCAACAGGCACCAAGCGGAAGAAAACGGACTGAAACAGGGAGGGACCACCTGGACTTATCCAATCAGAAACGCTCCTTTTCGTTTTCAGTTGCAAAAATATGTAAAACCTTTTCGTTGCATGCTGTAATAAACACAATACCAGGGAATATACGACTATGATAGTTGGGGTGGGGGATGTTTCTGACCTTGATGGAGGTGAGGTTCTTGTAGAACTCAGAGTCCAGGGAGGGCAGCTCGTCGATGGAGCTGTAGAAGGTGCTGTGGTGGTGACCCATGACCTGGCTGAGGAAGAAGGAGGCGAAGGGTACGTCCACCACGATGCCCTGAAACACACACACACACACACACACGCGTTGATCTCATGGACTATCAGGCATTGCATCCATAGCTCCAGCTATGAACTGTAGTTACATTTCTCCAGACCCATCCCTCAGTTTTATAGGGGGGACAGTGGTGGGCAGGGCTTGTGGCTTTAAAAGGAGTACTTCTTGTACATATATGGCAATTTCACATGACTAACATCCTCTGTGAGCGTAGACACACCTCATACATTGCTTTGCCAAGCATCTTCCCCACAAACTCAAAAAGCTGCAGGTGGTTCTCGTGGATGTAGGACGTAGGAGAGGGGTACAGCCTCTCGTTGCCACTGGTGGTCTATGGGGGAAAATACATCATCATCATCATCATCAGCAGTGGCAGCATGGTTGACAGAAAATGGCTAAAAGCACCTTGTGAGAGTAAATCTTTCAAAGCCTATTGGTTCCGGTGCAAGATACAACATTCAAAATTATTTCAAAAGTATTTGAAACGAGGTCTGGAGAGCAAACCTTAAAGAGGTTGAGTGCCGGGTTGAAAACTTTCTTGATGATCTCTTCCAGGAACTCCTTGAAGACGCCGTCTTGGTCGATGCCGGCCTCGTCCACACCAAGGTCGTTGACAAACTTCACACGGATCACGCCTTTGATGGAGTTGACAGGCAACCGGCGGAGCTGGTCATAACCATCCTGTGTTCAGAAACAAAGAGTTTGGGTGTTCAGTTTGGGCTTAAGTCACAGCCACCATACCTGACTGTATTTGAAAAACTAGGCTCTGTACACTTGCATACAGAATGCATCCTAAGTGGTATTCTAGTGTGGGGGAAAACATGCAACAGATCGATACATCAATTTCATACCTCTAACATCCGTGAGCGGCGAATGGTGATATGGGTGACATGCGGAGAGGCGGAGCTTGTCTCCACCAATCCCAAGGTTTCCTTCTCCTTGGTGATAATGTTCCGGAACAGCAGAACCCTCTAAAGTGGGTAGGACAGGATTACGAATGGGAGTGAGACACTATGTACATATTGATAAGGACACGGTACAGTGAAACTACAACTACAGATGCCCCAGAGGGACAATATTCTTTCTGTGCCGACTCACGTTTTTGTGGGGAATGACGTGTGGGATGTACTGAAGTAACAGCTGAGCTCTCCTCTTACCCTTCTCCAGTTCTTGGAACAAAAGGCTTGGCTTCAGATCCCTTGACACAAGGGGTGAAAGAGTGTGTGTGTGTGTGTGTGTGTGTGTGTGCCTTTTCCAACATCACAATTGTCTCCTACAGATCAGACCTGGAACAAATACATAAGTCAAATACTTGAGATAGGCCCGATATTTCCCCGGTGTACAGGGTGGTCAAAGTTGCTGCTTTTGGCACTAACATTCCATTGGTTCCATTGTGGTGGGCAAGCTTCATCAAGCGCACCTCAAGTATTTGACCGCTACTGATCACTAGGATCACCTTATAAGGATTTGGGAAGTATTGGAGATTAGGATCAGTACGTTTCCGGAGGGGCACTTACTTGCGCAGCCAGTTGTCATCAGGGGAGAACCTCCTCCTGCAGTCCCGCTCGTAGAGCACCATCAGCCAGCCGTGAACACTGTGGAACAGGTCCAGCTTCTCCCCCTTGGCATTCTCTGTCACAACAACACACTAAGTTAATGCACACACTCACTAACCATATCCCCAAGCTATTTTTCATGGTGCCGGAACCCGGGATTGGCCTTTGAGTTTGACAAGAGTTCAACAGGGGAAGGAGGCGACTCACCTAAGATGCCGTCCCAGACCATCTTGTACACAAACGTGTTGAGAAACGAAGAGATGGTGACAAGCTCCTCTGTCTTAAACGATATCTGCTCCTCGTAAACCTCAATGTCATCCAGGATCCTGTGTAAGACATATAGTATAACGTGTCAGTAACTACAGAGATCCAGTGGGTCTGGGATAATGTATTTAGGGACAGTTTTCCAGACACTGATTAGTACTGGATTAAAAAACCTGTTCAATAGAGATTCTCCATTGGAAGTGCTTCTTAGTCCAGGACTAGACTTCATCTATATGTGGGAAACACTCCCATACTGGATGTGTCTATCACGTGTCTGTTAAATGGTAGCAATTAATGGAGCTCACGTGATGAGGTGTCTGGAGCAGTCACAGAACAGCATGAGCATGGCCAGCAGCTGCTTAGACTCCTCTGTGTCGTTGTTCAGGCACTCCATGAACAGCTTGAGGCCTCCCTGGGGGCCTAGCTCGCAGATGAAGGCCCACAGCTTAGGCAGGAGGTCGTCCAGGTAGGTTAGGCCTGAGGGCGACACCGCCAGAGACAACATGAGAGAACATATGTTGTGTGTGTGTGTGTGTGTGTGTGCCTCAAATCACAGGGACTCACCAGTGAGGATTTGCAGTCGTATCTGAGTGAGCGTGGTGAGGGCTGTCTGGTACAGTACACAGATACTGCACACCTTCTGCACCTCAGCGGAGTCCACTCGTCTCCCGCCGACCGGCTTCAAGATGTTGCGCACTGAAGCAGACTTCTGAAACGCCCGCTTAAAGAGGCCTAAGAGAAACCCATGTCAATCAGAAACCAATCCAATAAGGTTAGTTCATTGATAAGGTTTAGTTCATTGTTTTAAAACACAACCTATAATGCACTGTCTGGATTGATCGACAACAACCCAGGTAAGTGATTTTTTTGGGGGATAATAATGGTGTCAAACTAATTAACCCTTGAAATGGATTGTTTAAGTGCCTGGGAGGAAAACAACAGAAACTGAAATCCAAATTCGACTTACTCTTGACTGGCAGGTTGTTCTGTGACGTGGTAGGCTGTGACTGTGGTGGAGGCGTGGCCTCTTGGGTCTCAAGCTTTTTGCTGAGGACGTCACTGAAGAGAGTCCGGATCACAGGCATGCCCCACAGGTACTGCAGCTGCTTGGTGACCAGTGGCATGGACTCATTCAGACTGGAGAGGGGGACAGGGAGAGGGAGTTAAGATCCAATTTAAATCCATGACATTCAATGGCTGAGATCCCATTTCATAGCCTGGTCCCAGATCTGTTTGTGCCGTTTTTCTCCTATGGTCATGAGTTTGGCATGACAATGACCACAAACAGATCTGGGATCAGGCTACACCTTTCAGGTTCTGAGGATGTCCCACTGACCCGTAGTCTACAGTTTGGGAAAACCAGCCTAGGACCGGGTGCCAGTGAGTGAGGTTGGATTTCTTCTGGGACACGTATCTCTGGCAGTAGGACAGCATGTCCGTCAGGTCCTTCACAAAGTGGTTGGCCTCCTCCTCCAGGACTTTCTCATTGAGGTAGCCCAGGTGAATCAGGTTACCTACAGTACAACAGGATGAAACAGAGGCCCCGCAGAGCAGCAACCCCAAAGAACCGATTCAGTACGCTTCCCACAGCACCTCACAGAGAAAAACAAGAACGAGTGATGCAAAAAAAGGCAACTCAAACTTGCACACACACACAGTAACCAGTTTCCCAAACTCTGTCCTGTCCTGCCCCCCCCCCCCCTTGCCCTAGCACTACACAGCTGATTCAAAATAACCAACTCATCATCAAGCTTTGATTATTTGAATCAGCTGTGTAGTGCTAGGACAAAAAACAAAACGTGCACCAGGGAGGGCCCCAGGACCGAGTTTGGGAAACTCTGCCCTATAGAAGAGAATTAAAAACGATTGCCATAGAATAGCTATGTGAGTCAGTGTTAAGGGCCGTACCCAGTAAGCACAGTGTGTGGCTCCCCTCCAGGCAGACACAGATGTCGACACACTGCTCCTCGCGGCTCAGGAACAGGGTGAACTTCCTCAGCAGGTCGTGGGTCTGTATGGTGGCCATGCACTGCACAGAGACAAGCACACACTCAGAGGTGTTCTCATTGTACAAGCTATGATATGTCTACACAATAAAGGTTGCGTCTGAAATGGCACCCTATACCTTACATAGTACACTACTTTCGAGCACCCTATTCCCTACATACAGTGCACTAGGTAGAGAACAGGGTGCCGTTTCTTCATGCGAGTGTCTACCTCTGGGGTGATGGTGTTGATGTGGGAGACCACAGCTGGGACAGACATGATGTGGATGAGAAGAGACCTCAGCAGGTTGTCAGAGAAGTGAGCAGCAATGACAGGTCTATAAAATAGAGACAAGTTACACTAATGGCTCCTGAAGCTTCTTCGGCTCCGAGCATTCTAAAAAGGTAACCAAGCAGATCACACACTATGATAGGATAGGACTTAATTCTCCATGAAGCTAAAACACAGGATTCTTTTCTTACAACAAATCCAGTTACAGAGAGGGAACGTGAGCAAGCTGAAGCCTGGGAATCTACTGCAATAGATCTGCTCCAGGCTCTAGTGATGCAGAGACAATTGATCCATTGTGGTTCAATGGGGATTAGAGCACTTCCAACAACCACTCACCTTAATGCCAATGTGAATATTGCTGTGAGTGTGCCCTTGGTAAGAGAGGGCCTGGAGCGCGCCAATCCGTTGGTGAGTAGAATCTACCAGGGAATCCAAAAGTGACAGGTCACGTATTTTATTTATATTTATATTGCAGAAACAACCAATAAACGTCAGCAACCAGAGTTGGGTTCAATTCCATTTAAATTCCAGTCAATTCAGAAAGTAAACCAACATTCTAATTCTAATTTTTCCAAATTGAAAAGTATTGAAGAGAATATGAATATGAATGTTAGTGTACTTCCTGAATTGACTGGAGTTGAAATGGAATTGACCCCAACCCTGTCAGCAACATCATAATAATCGTTCTAAAAGCACTGGGGAGAAGATGGAAGATGCCGCGTGTGTAACTGTACCTGCAGTATTGAATAAAATCCCTTTTGATTGAGATGCCCCATGATGTTCTCACAGATCCGGGTCAACACTGGCCTGAGGGCCTCTCCTAGAACAGAGGAGGTAGAAAATGTGTCTTTTTTATTTCAATATCAAGAGACTTGTGATAATAGAGGATGTGTGTGCACTGCAGCAGTGGTTTGACCTGAAACTGACCTTTCCCTCTAACTATCTTCCAGGTTGATGTGTCTGTGAAGGTCACCAGCATGGTAAGGTACAAAGTCACCAGCTTATTGTCCTGAAGGATGTCAGGCTACAGGAGACAGAAGTTACAATTATGACATTTCAATATTTAAAATGATACACCTGTTATCTTATAGAAGGTTATTATCCTAAATATTAATATTTACCTTTAATTTTTTCAGGAAATGACAGGAGACCCACAGAACATCTTTGATCTGCTTGATCCATGGGATGGTGAGGTCTTTGGAAAGGGCCAATGACACATACCAAACCTGATCACCAAGGACACAATCAAGTCACAGACTCAATCACACTCTGGTTCATTAAACATCTGTAATCACTGATGATTAATTATAATCATACTCACTTTGGGCTCATTTTCAACCTCCATGCTACCAAGAATGGAGCGACAAAGCTTCTCAAACCTCTGCGTAGCAAAAAGCATCATAGCTCGTTAGTTAAATGTACACTAAGCAATCTGCAGTAATCTCAAGTACTATATTGATACATAATCGTTGAAATGCCTTTCAGTTTGTAAGTAAATAAGAGACATCATCCAGTAAGAGACAATTAAAACATTCAAATCAGTTATAACAATGTACAAAACATATGTATATATTATAAGTGAGGGTAAAGTGTATGTGTTAAAGAAACTCACCAGTTTATCATCTTGACAATAAATGAATAACAACTTCCGTGCAATTTTAAAAATGGATAGTGCGTTTCTTTTTGTTGTCCCGACATCTTGAAAGAAGTCATCAACCTCTTTCCTGGTCAGAAAGAGACAGAATTCACACATTACTTCAAGGGTATACAGTTGAAGTCGGAAGTTTACATTCATCTTAGCCAAATACATTTAAACTTTTTCACAATTCCTGACATTTAATCCTAGTAGAAATTCCCTGTCTTAGGTCAGTTAGGATTCACCACTTTATTTTAAGAATGTGAAATGTCAGAATAATAGTAGAGAGAATGATTTATTTCAGCTTTTATTTATTTCATCACATTCCCAGTGGGTCAGAAGTTTACATACACTCAATTAGTATTTGGTAGCATTGCCTTTGAATTGATTAACTTGGGTCAAACGTTTCGGGTAGCCTTCCACAAGCTTCCCACAATAAGTTGGGTGAATTTTGGCCCACTCCTCCTGACAGAGCTGGTGTAACTGAGTAAGGTTTGTAGGCCTCCTTGCTCGCACACGCTTTTTCAGTTCTGCCCACAAATTTTCTATAGAATTGAGGTCAGGGCTTTGTGATGGCCACTCCAATACCTTGACTTTGCAGTCCTTAAGCCATTTTGGCACAACTTTGGAAGTATGCTTGGGGTCATTGTCCATTTGGAAGACCCATTTGCGACCAAGCTTTAACTTCCTGACTGATGTCTTGAGATGTTGCTTCAATATATCCACATAATTTTCCTTCCTCATGATGCCATCTATTTTGTGAAGTGCACCAGTCCCTCCTGCAACAAAGCACCCCCACAGCATGATGTTGCCACCCCCGTGCTTCACGGTTGGGATGGTGTTCTTTGGCTTGCAAGCAACCCCCTTTTTCCTCCAAACATAACGATGGTCATTATGGCCAAACAGTTCTATTTTTGTTTAATCAGACCAGAGGACATTTCTTAAAAAAGTACGATCTTTGTCCCCATGTGCAGTTGCAAACCGTAGTCTGGCTTTTTTATGGCGGTTTTGGAGCAGTGGCTTCTTACTTGCTGAGCGGCCTTTCAGGTTATGTCGATATAGGACACGTTTTACTGTGGATATAGATACTTTTGTAACTATTTCCTCCAGCACTTCACAAGGTCCTTTGCTGTTGTTCTGGGATTGATTTGCACTTTTCACACCAAAGTACGTTCATCTCTAGGAGACAGAACGCATCTCCTTCCTGAGCGGTATGACGGCTGCGTGATCCCATGGTGTTTATAGTTGCGTACTATTGTTTGTACAGATGAACGTGGTACCTTCAGGCATTTGGAAATTGCTCCCAAGGATGAACCAGACTTGTGGAGGTCTACAATTTTTTTTCTGAGGTCTTGGCTGATTTCTTTTGATTTTCCCATGATGAGGCACAGAGTTTGAAGGTAGGCCTTGAAATACATCCACAGGTACACATCCAATTGACTCAAATTATGTCAATTAGCCTATCAGAAGCTTCTAAAGCCATGACATCATTTTCTGGAATTTTCCAAGCTGTTTAAAGGCACAGTCATCTTAGTGTATGTAAACTTCTGACCCACTGGAATTGTGATACAGTGAATTCTAAGTGAAATAATCTGTCTGCAAACAATTGTTGGAAAAATTACTTGTGTCATGCACAAAGTAGATGTCCTAACCGACTTGCCAAAACGATAGTTTGTCAACAAGAAATTTGTGGAGTGGTTGAAAAAACGAGTTTTAATGACTCCAACATAAGTGTATGTAAACTTCCGACTTCAACTGTATTCCAAAACTAGTCTCAAGAAAGATGATATGTCCTCCTAATGCATAATGGCAAGTATTGCTTGTAAAGTTAACCTTATTTGCTTCTGGAGTCTGCAGCGACAGAGGAATCTCCTGACCAGCGCTTGGATAAGAGTGGCTGCTCTCTCCCTCTCTTTGTACCCCTTCCTCTCTTCACGCGCCTGCCTGGCTTTGTCCAGGAACTCTGACTTGGAACTCTGAGTTGCACTAAACATTGTGCACCGCTAAGGTCAGGCAAAATTGACAGATTTAGTTGCTGCAGAAACACAATAGTGATGAATATTCAAGGACAAAATAAAAAACTTAGATGTAGCCATTCACTGCAATAGAATAAGAATACATTCAAATTAAGGTAATGACATCACACATAGAAATCAATAAAGCAAAAACAGGCCATGGTGTGTTATACCTTTGTTTTTCTCTGGTGATCTTGCCTTGACCTTTGCGCTATGCTTCTGCAGTCATTTGAACATCCTCGAGATCCAAGTTTCCAGAAACCCTTCGAGAGCTATAGCTGCGCTTTGGTTAGCCCAGCAAAAGCAGATCAATTTGTCATCTCTATGAAAATAACACATAAAGAACATATGTTACAAGTTAGCACATCATTACAACTTTGAGACCATTTATGCTAGCTAGCCAACGTTAGCTAAATTGTGGATGTTCTGTCTGGTCTCAAACGATGACACATTCCTAATTTAGCTTGAAAGCAAGCTAGCTAGCTAGCAACATAAACAACATTTTAATCCACGACAAACTGACAATGTGGTACAAATCAAGAGTAACAGTTAGCTATACTCGCTAGATAACTACTAGACCCGACAAATAACTCGCTAGCTTGTTGTCGCCAACAATCTACTGTATTATGGTTAGTAACGTCAGCTAGCTGCTGATTAGCATAGCAGGCTAACTAACGTTAGCTAGCTACTTCGTCACCACCAACTGATTGATATAACTGAGCTACTTGCCAACGCATTTTACGAACATGAAAAACTAGGTAAAACATTACTCAACAATAACTTGCCGTTCACTGGCAATGACAACCTCATTAAGTAGATGCCTTATGCTGTTTCAAAATGTAAACAATAACAGGATATCCATACATTGATTGCAGCCATTAATCCTTGCACTTTCGCACTGAAAACATTCCGGGAGTGGGATGTATTTTTCTGATAGTAAACAATTGTTATGATATTTTCCATATTGATACACTGTATGTACACTGAAATTATTTTTGTTACAATTATTATTTTCTCTAAACTGCATCTCTTCAATTAAAGCTTTTGGAGCAATTTATAGAACTATGGGCATAAATTTAAAGCTAAAGAAAATGGGGGCGCTACTATCGGTTACTCCTTTGCGGGGCGGAAGCTAATTAATGACGTATGGCCACAGCTAGTTATAAATACGCTTGTTCGACATTACAGCCGACTGCCTACTGACTGATCAACAAATCACCTTGCATCATAAATAACGACTCATTATTTTTGTAGATCAGTCAGTCGCAATTTACCCATGATACATCTCGGTTTTGGCCCTTCAACACGGCCAATCGCATTGGTATGGCCCATTCCCAAATGGACCACTAGACCAGAAACGTCGTAGGGATGCAAGAGTCCCCTGATACAAACGTTAGACAAAGATTCGGTTGGAGAGCCTCGTAAATGGCGTCCTTTGAGAAAGCAAGAACAAGATGTATGTTAGGAGAAGTGCAGTATTATCATAAGGAGAAGTATACTTGGATTACGGAGGAGGAATGGAGGGAAAAGGAGAGGCAGAGGAGGTCTAAGAGAGAGAGGGAGGAAGATTGTGAGCTTGAGTCGGTTAAAAATGTTTGTTAAAGAAGAATGGTATAAAATGTAAGCAGAGTGAGCTGAAGACAGGAGGAGAAATGGAAGTGAATGAGGGTGAAGTATCGGAGGTGGTAGGTGTGGTGAAGTACTCGGAGCCCAAGGCTTGCACTGAGGGTCAGGATAAAGATGAGTCTGTGACCGTAGGAGTTAAGTTTTTGGAAAAAGTGGACCCTTGCCTTTTGGCTGATCCATTTGTGGTTTCAGGGTGGGTGAAAAAATAGTTGGGTATAGTGGAATCGGTGAGGGTAACCAGAAGTGGTCTAGTGATACTTGTTTGGGTTTCTGTTGGTCAGAGGGAGAAGGCGATCGGAGTTAAACAAATGGGGGCAAGAAATGTGAATTGTTTCGCGCTCAAGAAAAGGGCGCCATTGAAAGGAGTGATTACTGGGGTAGCAGTAAATGTAAAAGTGGATCAACTGAAGGAGAAGATTCCCGGTGTGTGTGATGCACGTCGTTTGGTGCGACGCAAAAAGGGTGTCGAGAGTGGGGAAACAGAAGAGTCATTGTCTGTTCTTTTGAGTTTTGAAGTTGAGTCTTTGCTCAACAAAGTGAAGTTAGGATATATAAGTTATCCTGTATGAGCTTATGTGCCGAATACATTGATGTTACAGGTGTCAAATTTATGGGCATGTGGCAGCAGTGTGTAGGAGGGAGGTTCCAAGGTGTGAGAAGTGTGCAGAAGGGCATGAGACAAAGGAATGTGTAGCATTGGGGAAAGTAGTGGTATGTGGTAATTTTGGGGTGCACATGGGGCTGGGGATCAGAAATGTCCCGTGCGAGAGAGGCAGGTTGAGGTTTCGACGGTAAGAGTAGTGAAGAAGTTGTCATATCCTGAGGCAGTGAAGAAAGTAGAGGAAGATGGGTCAAGGGGGAGGAGTTGTGAGAGTAGTAGAGATGTACCAGTACAGAGGGATAGGCCAACAAGTGATGTTTCAGTAAGATTTGGATTTTTAGCATTTATAGCAATGGTTATTAATTGTACTGCAGGAATGGAATGGAAGTCGAAGAAAATTGAGATTGTGGAGGCCGCTGCAGAGAGGTATTTGGAAGTGCGAGACTTGACATCAGAAGAGTTACAGGGTGTGTTAAGTGGTAATGTCCCATCCTTTCAGGTTGAGGTAGGAATACATATATTTAAATAGTGGAGTAGGGTGGTGTTAATTGAGTATTTTTAATTTTTTTAATTTGTGAGTGTAGTGATAGATGGTAGGTTATTTCTTCATTTTATTTTTCAAGCAAAATTATAAGGGAGTTGTACTCCAGTCTAGTAGGTGGCAGTAATGCAACATATGGTGCCAGCCTAATGAAGAGAACCCCCCCCCCCCCCCCCATTGACAGGCGAATCAATAGGGAAACTCCTCCCTCTGATAGGCTAGGGAATGTCCCAATACCTATGTTATACCACAAATCCTTCGTTTAGGTTAGATACCCCTATAAGAATGAGCTGAAGCAAGCCGAGTCAGCTCGTTACAAGTTAATACTACTCATTTATTTGCAACATTGTCGGTCTTACCCATGCTAGAGTTGGATTCCTCATGGCCTTTATGGTATCTTTTTAGTGTTGAAGTGTTTCATTGTATTAAGAATACTAAACTAAGAGTGAACTTTATAAACTTTAGAGAAAATGAGCCACTGCAGCATTTTAACAAATTCTGTCTATCAACCAATTTAGGAATGAATGATGAGACAAAATGCAGGGGAAAATAAAAGGGGAAATTATTAATTTGTTGGTGCGCACTTTCCCTACCTGTAATGACGTCATCAATTGTTTGCTGGTCCGGAAGTAGGTGATTCCTGGGGCTGGTGCTAGTACAAGTCTGTTGGCGGTTCTATGGTAAATATGACTGAACAATGTTGTTTTAAAACACATGTTAGTTAACACTTTCGGAATAGAAAACAACTGAATCAATGATCACTAATTGGTGAAATGTCGACGTTCTTGTCCTTTTGGCCTAAGTTAGCTAGCTAATGTTTAGCCGTCTTGGTTCAGGTCTCCTAGCTAGCTAGCTAGCTAGCTAACCGGAACCGGTAGTAAACGTTACGTGTTGTTTAGCCCAAGAATGTACTCTTAAGTTGTGTAGGCGAGGCTACCGTTACTCCTTGGTCCAAAGACCTTATTGCTTCTTTTGGACTGTAACACCAGTGTTACACTAGTGTATGCACTCTTATGTTATGCTAGGGAAATTGTGTTTCCATAGCTAGGGCTGACAGTGAGGATTTCTGAACATGGCCGGTATTAACAAATCATAGGCCCCGGGGCTTTGGGTTTTTATAGGCCCAGTTTTTTATTTTTTTTCAAGGTCTCTTAACTTACTGTTGAGAGTTAGAATAGTAGGATACACAAGGTGCAATTTCAATTTTTTTGTGTACATCAGCAGTTTCTCTTATGACAGTCACTGACAGTCACTCAATTAGCCAGTGGTGGAAAAAGTACCCAATTGTCATATTTGAGTAAAAGTATAGATACCTTAATAGAAAGTTACCCAGTAAAATACTAGTTGAGTAAAAGTTTAAAAGTATTCGGTTCTAAATATACTTAAGTATCAAAAGTAAATGTAATTGCTAAAATATACTTAAGTATCAAAAGTATAAATCATTTCAAATTCCTTATATTAAGCAAAGCAGACGGCACCATTTTCTTGTTTTAAAAATGTACGGATAACCAGGGGCACACTCCAACACTATCTAGCAACTAATCCTTTCCGATCCCAAGTCCATAAGGGCCATTTAGGGTTAAAAGGTTGGGGTCAATGTGGGATTGAATGGACTAGCTTTCCAAAGCTGACCTGTCCATGGGGCTCATTTTCTTGTTTGCCATCTTGACACTTGACTTGGGGGTGTTTTGTGCCCTTGTCACAGGAAGAGATGTCAGGAGAGAGCGTGGTGAGCTCGGCAGTGCCGGCGGCTACAACCCGGACCACCTCCTTCAAGGGCTCCAGTCCCAGCTCCAAGTATGTGAAGCTGAATGTGGGCGGGGCGCTCTACTACACCACCATGCAGACCCTCACCAAGCAGGACACCATGCTCAAGGCCATGTTCAGCGGCAGGATGGAGGTCCTCACAGACAGTGAAGGTACTGTATCTGTCAGACCTCCATGGCACCACTCATCTCAGATACGTTTGGCGGGATCCAGAGGGTCTGAGTGAGGAGTCTTTAACACCTCTATTATTACACCTGTATTTTGCTATCCTGGTCCGAGATCTAGTTGTACTGTCTTGCCAACTCCTAAATGGTCAATGTCAAGAGTCACGAGCATAGGAGTTACACACAGTATAAACAGAACTGGGATCAGCCTAGTGTTAGCGGTCTAACATTTTAAAATAGCCTATAAGTTGATCTGGTGCTTTTCCCTGTCCAGGCTGGATCCTCATTGACCGGTGTGGGAAACACTTTGGGACGATTCTGAACTACCTTAGAGACGGTGCAGTGCCACTCCCAGAGAGTCGTCGGGAGACTGAGGAGCTAATGGCTGAGGCCAAGTACTATCTGGTCCAGGGCCTGGCTGATGAGTGTCAGGCTGCCCTGCAGGTACCGTCACCCTCAGAACTGGTATTTTCTCCTCGCACTTTACCCCTTTTCACACTACTGAGCTGAGCCAAACTGCACTGCACAGGCTTGGTTATACATCCACCATAGCTGCTTGAACCGTGCTGGAAAGGACATGTCAAAAGGAAAATATCAGAGCCAATACTGTTTGGGTTGGCACAATGGTGTGAAATGGTCAGTCTCACCCCTCCACCCACACTCTGTCTTCATCTAGCTCTACCTCCCACTGCCTCTACCTACTACACATACACCATTATGGGCCCAGCCAACTATGTTAAAAATCATATCCATTCTAGCTAAAATCTGTCTTTACCATTCAAGTATTTTTGTTTATTGGTGTTCTAGAACAAAGAGTCATACGAGCCGTTCTGTAAAGTTCCTCTGGTGACATCATTGAAGGAAGAACAAAGACTCATCGCCACCTCTAATAAGGTATTGTTGACCGAGTCACACATCAGAGTGAAGGACATGCCCAGTATTTACTAGAGAAGATCTAGTCTCACGTATTCAATTCAGACTGATGTTTTACTCTGTTGTTTTGGGTCTACACAGCCCACTGTCAAACTCTTATACAACAGAAGCAACAACAAATACTCCTACACAAGGTGAGAGATTCTTACACCTATTAAAGACATGTAAATGATAAATGTCAAGTGAAAAATGTATGGTTTAAGTACAGTCCACATCCCAGGCTGACTACATTGTAGCCAGCTGCCAGATCTCACAACGCCTGGATAGGTGTTTAACATCACCTAACCACATCATATGATTTAGCAATCTGATGTCTGACTGCACAGTCGATGACGTGGCACGCAACAGGTGGTTGCTCTGCAAAGGCAATTACATGGCTGCAGTATAGTCGGCGTGGAACGCGACCTGTTATCACCAACCAGGCTTCCCCATCCTTCCCTCCATGCAGTAACTCTGACGACAACATGCTGAAGAACATTGAGCTGTTTGACAAGCTGTCGCTGCGCTTCAACAACCGCGTGCTCTTCATCAAGGATGTGATCGGCGACGAGATCTGCTGCTGGTCCTTCTACGGCCAGGGCCGCAAGATCGCTGAGGTGTGCTGCACCTCCATCGTCTACGCCACAGAGAAGAAGCAGACCAAGGTAACGCAAAGAAATCACACTCGGCAACGGCGTATAGTGGGATGTCATTGTTAAGGTATTTTAATGAGCACAGACTCAGCAACTACATCATGTCTCTGGCTTCTAGCTCTGATGTTAGAACTCCTCTAGTAAACTACCTCAATTTGGGAGTTTGTCGCTAACCTGCTGTTAGAATACTGTAAAATATTATACTTTAATATGCCATTGGGACATTTGCTTTGCAACAAAGTACAGGCATTCTTGGCATTCAGATAACATAATGACCAGGCAGACCTAAATACATAAACCCCTTCTCCAGGTGGAGTTCCCTGAGGCACGGATCTACGAGGAGACCCTCAACATCCTGCTGTATGAGTCCCAGGATGGGAGGGGTCCTGACAACGCTCTGCTGGAGGCCACGGGGGGCGCCGCTGGCCGCTCGCACCACCTGGACGAGGACGAGGAGCGCATTGACAGGGTCCGCAGGATCCACGTCAAGCGACCCGACGATCGCACACACCACCACCAGTAACCCCTGACTGACCAACCCCCTCGACCATGACCATCCAAAGCCCAGCCCATCCCTGTACATCTGATCCTGGACTCTCAGTGACCAACCCCCTCGACCATGACCATCCAAAGCCCAGCCCTGTACATCTGATCCTGGACTCTCAGTGGACCATGTGTGTGCCTTACTTCCAACACCCAGCACTTCTCTCTCTTCTTCCCCCACTCCTACTCTCACCCGTCCCCCACAGCGGGAGCCCACTGCTGAGGAGAGACGAGTGGAGGCTTCGTGTGAAGTGGTAAAGTTGTTTCATGTGTGTTTACATGTAGGCCATCTTGTTTTGTGTAGTGCCCTGAGGAAGAATATCTGAGTCATCCTAAATTGTTTGGGTGTTTAGTGTGAAGTGGCTCAGGGGGTGGTGGATGCTGAGTTTGGAGGTGTTATTGTTTTTTCTACTATGTGTGAAAATGAATTGGATTATGAATGGACATTTTACATTTACATTTTAGTAATTTAGCAGACGCTCTTATCCAGAGCGACTTACAGTGAGTGCATACATTTTTTTTTAAAAAATTTTTAAAAATCATACTGGCCCCCCGTGGGAATCGAACCCACAACCCTGGCGTTGCAAGTGCCATGCTCTACCAACTGAGCTACACGAGGCTCATACTGGACGTCACGTGTGTGGAATGGAAATGTGTCAGTGGTTATACTGGAGAGAATTGCAATCTTAGCATCATGCATTTTTCTGTGGTCCTTGCTATGTTGCAGCCAGAAGAACAAGAATCATGATGTCTGTTGCTGAGTTTCTGGATGTTTGAAGTGTATGGAGAAACTGTGATGGCAGTCACAGGTGTTCTACAAGAACAGTCCACCAGGGGGCAGTATTGAATCAAACAGACAATCTCCTGTCTGAGACAGCATCGCTGCCTGCACAGGCTTTTGTGTTCTATCAATTTCCAATTAAATTGTTGCATTTTCCTTTTGCCCCATTCTTGAATATCAGTCAATATTCAGTCGAATTAAAATATATCATACAATGGAGTACCTCCACTCTCCCACAACCTCTTTTTTTTTTTATGAATAGGATTTCCCATTTAACCCAACATCCCTTCATGCCATGTAAGTGATTTTTTTAAAGGAGAGAACTTGAGCTGTGGAGTGAAGTGTTACCCGGGCTGATTGAATGATGGAGCGCCAAGGCTGAAATGAATGGCTGAAACGAGAGCTCTACCCCCAAGGAGGGCTTTTAACAGGCAGAGAAATTAAACCTGTTAACCGTATGTCTACACGCTATGTGTCCCATTTTAACAAACAATACTTGTAGAAGGATTCATCTGTACAATTGTACCTCATGAAATGTTTTACATATATTTATACATACCCTATCACAAATAAAATATTTCTACAAGAATGTTGTTTGCGTTTGCTCTTTTAATTTTCTAATTGAAGTATAAAATGATGGTACATAGGGCTTCATTGTTGCAAAATCAATCAATGATTCCTATACAAGAGTGGCCTGATGGTTTGATATAGTGCAAAGAGATATAATTGACTATTTTAGAGAGGAATGCATTCTGCTCTCATTCAGCAACACAGTAATGTATCGTTTACAACTGAAGTACTAAACCAGCATACACATACGCCTCCCTTAGCCTTGAATTCACAAAAAGAAAAATCTGAATTGAAAAATACGTCATAGAACTGAAATCCATAGACATCATGACAAATGTGTAGGTTTGTGCTGTTTTGAGTCCCTTAAATTAACACTTGTCTCCAGTCAATTCTCTCAGACAGGATGGGTGCATAAGAAGGGGGATTTATTTTCTTAGGAGCTCCGCCTAGAGAATGCCATTAAATACATTGAGCCATTGGTTCAATGGTTTGTAGCTTTCATGGTTTCCTGAAAACAACAGCTGTAGGTCTGTTTTGGGATTCATCTCTATAAAAGTCAGCCTGATCCCAGATCTGTTTGTGGTGTCTTGCCAACTGGCTATTGAGTTAAATATATGCACAACACAAACAGATCTGGAATCAGGCTATACAGGAGCAGAATTCTAGGTCTAATCCAGATGTTGTCCACAGGTTCTAATGTGTTTGGTCAGTCTCCTGCGACCTTGTCCGTTATCTCCTTAGTGTGTCTATGTCTGCTGGGCCCTGAGCAGGTCACCGAGCCCTGGTCCGAGTGGATACCTAGAGTGACAAATATGTCATTCATTCAGAATGCACGTGTTGATCACCTGCGTCAAGTTCATTAGGGAATATAACGGAAAACACTGAAAAATCCTTTGCAATTAAATGAGACATTTGTATTGGACTCCTCCAGGTAGTCCCTCTTTGTTTCAGTCCATTTCTTCTGTTTGGTGCCTAATGAACACGATCCTGGAGTTGCCTGCTGCAAAAGGACTCCGCATTCCTTTTTTTAATGGTTGACCATGTCCATAACACAAGGTAGTGCATACAAACCAAATCAGACCACCATACAAATCATACAATCACTGTATCTTACTCCAAACATTTGTTAAAGGCCCAGTGTATTAAAAAATGTGATTTTCCTGTGTTTTATATGTACTTCCACACTATGAGGTTGGAATAATACTGTGAAAATGATGATAATGCCCTTTTAGTGTAAGAGCTGTTTGAAAAGACTGCCTGAAATTTCAGCCTGTTTTGGTGGGATGGAGTTTTGGCCTGCCTGGTGTAACCACCAGGTGGTAAATTAGTTAATAAACCAATAAGAAAGAGAGTTCCAAACCTCTCTGCCAATAACATCTAGTTTTCAGTTTTCCGCTACCCACTCAGACCACTCCCAGAGAGTCCTAGCAAAATTCTTGCTTGAGAAATTGCTCGTTGCTAAGTAGCTATTTTATTTATTTATTTTGACAATTTTAATTGAAAACAATCACAGTAAGGTACTTACAGTGCCTTGCAAAAGTATTCATCCCCCTTAGTGTTTTTCCTATTTGTTGGATTTCATGTAATGGACATACACAAAATAGTCCAAATTGGTGAAGTGAAATGAAAAAAATAGCTTGATTCAAAAACGGCTAAAAAATAAATAACGGAAAAGTGGTGCGTGCATATGTATTCACCCCCTTTGCTATGAAGCCCCTAAATAAGATCTGGTGCAACCAATTACCTTCAGAAGTCACATAATTAGTTAAATAAAGTCCACCTGTGCGCAATCTAAGTGTCACATGATCTGTCACATGATCTCAGTATATATACACCTGTTCTGAAAGGCCCCAGAGTCTGCAACACCACGAAGCAAGGGGCACCACCAAGCAAGCGGCACCATGAAGACCAAGGAGCTCTCCAAACAGGTCAGGGACAAAGTTGTGGAGAAGTACAGATCAGGGTTGGGTTATAAAAAATATCATAAACTTTGAACATCCCACGGAGCACCATTAAATCCATTATTAAAAAATGGAAAGAATAGGGCACCACAACAAACCTGCCAAGAGAGGGCCACCCACCAAAACACATGGACCAGGCAAGGAGGGCATTAATCAGAGAGGCAACAAAGAGACCAAAGATAACCCTGAAGGAGCTGCAAAGCTCCACAGCGGAGATTGGAGTATCTGTCCATAGGACCACTTTAAGCCGTACACTCCACAGAGCTGGGCTTTATGGAAGAGTGGCCAGAAAAAAGCCATTGCTTAAAGAAAAAAATAAGCAAACACGTTTGGTGTTTGCCAAAAGGCATGTGGGAGACTCCCCAAACATATGGAAGAAGGTACTCTGGTCAGATGAGACTAAAATTTAGCTTTTTGGCCATCAAGGAAAATGTCTGGCGCAAACCCAACACCTCTCATCACCCCGAGAACACCATCCCCACAGTGAAGCATGGTGGTGGCAGCATCATGCTGTGGGGATGTTTTTCATCGGCAGGGACTGGGAAACTGGTCAGAATTGAAGGAATGATGGATGGCGCTAAATACAGGGAAATTCTTGAGAGAAACCTGTTTCAGTCTTCCAGAGATTTGAGACTGGGACAGAGGTTCACCTTCCAGCAGGACAATGACCCTAAGCATACTGCTAAAGCAACACTCCAGTGGTTTAAGTGGAAACATTTAAATGTCTTGGAATGGCCTAGTCAAATATTTTGCATCTTCAAAGTGGTAGGCATGTTGTGTAAATGAAATTACATTTACATTTACATTTTAGTCATTTAGCAGACGCTCTTATCCAGAGCGACTTACAGTTAGTGAGTGCATACATTATATTTTTTTATTTTTTCATACTGCCCCCCCCCCCCCCCCCCCCCCCCCCCCCCCCCCCCCCCCCGTGGGAAACGAACCCCCAAAAAAATCCATTTTAATTCCAGGTTGCAAGGCAACAAAATAGGAAAAATGCCAAGGGGGGTGAATACTTTTGCAAGCCACTGTAATTGTAACCCAGAAATGGTTTGATATTGAGATAAAAACAGCTGCATTGGACCTTTAACGTTTCCTATGTTTGACATCATATCAATGTGATCACAGTCGTTTCAATATTTGCTTGTCTGTTCTGTGTATAATGCCATGAGGAAGCCAAAGGAAACAATATTTGTTATTCTTCTTCTAGCAGCTAAAATAAAAGTAAGCAGAAAGCATGTGATTCTAGCCAGCTGTGCACAAGCCTGATCCCAGATCTGAGGCAAAGGACGGTGGGCAATGGCCATAGGAGTTGTCAAGACAGCACAAGCAGGTCTGTGACCAGGCTCCCAGGCTCCTCTGAGCAGCAGCAATAGCATCACTCACCACCATGAGGTGTCCATTCTTGTCCTTGTACACCATGGACTCCTGGCCACTGCTGAAGTCCACAATGCCCTCTTTCCCCGCCTGTATCTGAAACTTGATGCTGAAAAACAACAACATTTTCATATTCATCCAGGACTCCATGGAAAACAGTGGCACGTGTTACGGAGAGGACTATCCTGGCTAAATAAATAAAAATGTCAGCTCATCTGGCCACTTGATCCATTGGACTACAACTCAAAAAATCCATCCTGTTGTCAGCCACAGCCTCACCTGCCCTGGACCACGTTGATAGCGCTCTGCTTGTTGGCGACCACACTGAGTTTGGTCAACACTTCAAACAGGTGGTCACACTGCATGACCAGGTCCCCCTGAACATGAGGTCAGGACACATTGGGTAGCATTAAGGGTGTGTCTGAAATGGCACCATATTCCATGCCATTTCGGACGCACGTAGGATTTCATTCTAAACATATCCTGGTTAGAATCACTTGAAAAACAGAGGCACTACACTGACATTATCGAGCTATTATACTATGCTGTGTGAGTGTGTGGCGACAGTGTCCTCCTACCTTCTGCTTAACGTCTTCACTTGCAATATGGAAAATGATGATGCCGTCACTCAAGGTACTGACAGACACACCTGCAATGGAGTAAGCAGCACTCACACAGATCAGTACACTTTGAAACCAAATACTGTATATTATATATAATACCAGTATTTTCCTAATTTACACTTCAGTAGAATTTTCAACTAGTAATCCATTGTGAAAATTTGACATAGATGGAAGTTAGGATTCGCCCCACTGAGATCAAATCTATTTAGCAAGCGAGACCAGACAAGCTCAAACCCCATGCATCCCATCCATACCATGTTGGAGGCTCACCTTTCAGATTAGTGTACTGCACTCTCTGTTTGATCTTGGCCTCGTCCACCGCATAGGCAGCCATCTGCGTGAGGATGAGCTGCCGAGGTCGGGGTTTAAACCCATTCCTGTCATACTTCACCACTGGTACGCTGTACTGCAGAGCGAGAGAGAACAGAGATGGGAAAGAGAGAGGGAGGGAGCGGGAGAGAAAGAGAGAGAATATATGTTTAAATGATAGAAACATTCAAAAATATTATTAAGGGTTAAGGATACACTGCAATGCAAATGTCTCGATTACCTTGACGCGTTCATGGCGAATTATCTGCAGGACCTTCATATTGATGTCCTGTTCACCTGAAATTACAACATAGTGCAAAAGGTGGTATTTTATCCTAAAATACGAGTGAGTAGCAAATATCTGCTATTATATACTGACTGATCCTGGTGTCCACAAAGGGTTGGCAGACACTCTGTGGGTAGCTGTCCTTCTTGCCCTTGAAGATGACACTGGTGATCCCCTTGAGTTGAAGCTGGGAGGGTGAGACAATAAATGAACATAAAAAAACATAGAACTACATAAAGAACTCTGATTTATAGGATCTCTGTGATCACAAATATGTTACACAGCATAGGCTATACAGGGCACTAAAAAGGTAGGTTATACCACGTCATTGGCAGAACAATTGCTGTGCAACACGCCACTCTGGCGTCTCCAAGCGATAGCTTGTCACAAAAACCTGTCCAGCTGACGTTTTAGTTCAACTGTACACTCACTATGCCATTATGACCACAACACACTAAATACAACCTAACAATGCAACATAGAGCACTACAACAAAAGTATATTGTCTACTATGTCCATTATGTAAATCATGATTTAAAAGGGAAAATTAGGGAGTAATTCTGGCCTCACCTGTGCTTTCTGTTGTGCAGTGATCCCTCTGACGTACCTCGTCACCATGAGACGCATGTGGAGCTGACGCAGGATCGCTGAGGCCTGTACAAGTAGAGCAAGCACAGTCCAACAGACATGTTTCACTGAGCTTCCCCTTTAACACCAAACTAGCCGTCCTCAATTCAATGGAATTGAATTCCAATGTGAATACATACCTCCGTCAATACAGGTGGAGGGGTTAGCCAGCTGGTTTTATCCAGAACCGTTTTTGGGAGATTGTCTTTCAGCCTGTTTAGGTAGTTCTGTCTGACAAAGGCCAGGTATTCAGAGTTATCAGTAGTCTTTGCCTCCCCTCTGGTCATGTATCCTTTAATAAACCTGGAATAAAAAAGAATAGAATTAGTCATCTACAGTATTAATAGTAATACTGCCCTCTGTCCTCTGGGAATGTGCTGTAAATTATAGGCTTTAATACACTATGGACCTGTAGTATGTGGCATAAACTTCAGAGTATGAAGTTATGATATGTAATTTGGGTTGATGGATCAACATTGCAGTGTTAGACCCTGAAGATGTGATGTCGTTCTCCCTCCTCTTACTTCTTGATGACCTTGACAGCCCATTGTCTCCTCTCTTTCTCTTTCCTGGCTTGTACTCCTCTCCAGCAAGTCTCAATCTTGGTGGCTAAAGAACACATTACACAACAGGTATGAAATCAAGATGGAGAAAAATGTGAATTTATTGAATGTCTGTAGATTTAGTTTTACTTCAAACTACTCCATTTTGTTTGCATGGCGAGTAAAACTTGTATCTTGTGTATCTTGTAACTTGTATCTTGCCTACAATGTTTCTGCTCTCCAAAAAGTCACACCATTTCTCCTATGTCATGTTACACACATTATATTATATAAAGCAGATGCTTTTATCCAAAGCAACTTACAGTCATGCATGCATACATTTGTCTACATATGAGTGGTCCTGGAAATCGAACCCACTATCCTGGTGTTGCAAGTGCCATGCTCTGCCGACTGAGCTACAGAGGACCACATCCATGTAGCTTCGCTGTCACTTACCAGCTTCTTTCTGTCTTCTGAATTCTCCTTTTTGCCGGTATCCCTTGTACTGGGCCTGAATCCTTGATGCTGTAATATAAATTCATAATATTGAATTCATAATATGCAAATATATAAAATCTTGATTTCTCTTAGCTTTCCTGCCCTTACCAAGTTTATGTTTGCAGACCTCGAAGGCATCCTCTGTGGCAAAAAGTGTCCTGGGGTGGCGGATAAATATCTTGGTTCTACAGTGAAATGGAAAAGTAACAGAGGTTTGTACGAACCAATCTAGTCGAGGATAAATTTGTTTCCCAAACTGCTCTCACCTGCCCATTTTGTACTCATCTGGTAGGTATCCCAGGTGCTGCACCAGCACTTCCACTCCTTCTGCAGCCACTCCTCTCCAATGGGGCCAGGTGGCTGGGCATAAGGGCTTGTATCTGGAGGTGGATCACACATCACCTCATTGTCCTAGATGTACAGTATTTGGAATGCCTGTAATGCCTTTGCTTGTTTGTTTTAAAATGCAAGACAATGTTCCCCAAGGGGATACAATAAATAAATACATTAATTATTTGATATCAACAGCTCAAGTAAAGGGCAAAGTCTCTCAAAGGTTCTGGTAGAATCATTAGCCGGTGAAGTCTAATGTTATAAGGAAATTATTGTTTCTACAAAGTAATCAATGTGGTCTACTAAAGCAATACGTTCTGTTGGCCTACCTCTGCAGGAACACCTCGTAGCGGCGTCGGTATGCAAAACCTGCCCGTCTGACCCTAAGGTGTTCCATCAGCCCCAGGTACTTCACTTGGTGCCGAACCAGCACGTTGTCAAAACGGCCTGCAGTGTGTGTGTGTGCAAAAAAAAAGAATGAAAGACATATTGCTTCATAAACACAGCTGACAGATTGAAGTTTGGAAGTGCCACCAGCTGGTGTTGATATGGTGCACGTGGTGGAGGTCAGAGGGTCTCTCACCTGGCTGTTTGGACTCGTTGGATTTGAGGCAGCGCACATACCAGGGCTCCTTAGACATGAGGATGTCTGTCAGTCCCAGCAGACTGCTCTTAAACTGGCTAGCAACCTACAGAGAAACAGGCCTAGGATCAGTTGTAGTTTATCTGTCAAATACACATGGATGATGGACCACAATAGGCTGCCAGTGACAGAGGTAAATTATGTTTAAATGCTGCATAAGGGGACAATAAATAATCCAATGTAAACACAGAGACATCTATTGCTTTTCTCAGCTGTCCGTCATTCTGAAAACTGTGTGTTCCTATCCAGCTATACTGTACAATATGTTATACTATTGAGGCCGTGTACAAGGCAAGAAACAATGTCATTGTGACTTCAGGGGGACAGAGGTGGGGAAAACTTGGTGAGCTCTCACCGTCTCTGGTCGCCGCCTGCTATCCGACTCCGTGGAAGCAAAGCACTCTCTGACTATGGCATTTTTAGACTGCCGCATCACCTGTGTACACACATACACACACACACACACCTCCCATCACAGTGGATACTCAAAACCCATTGGCCAAATTCACTGCATTCTCCTCCTCCTGTATTATGTACAATACTTCTACAGGAGAGTAAATAATTAAGGAAGCAATTGAAAAGAGTCCCTTCCTCTGCCCCGCCCCCCCTCCTCTCCTTCCTTCCTCCCCTGTCTCACAAAATCCATCAGCAGAAACCTGCAGACTTACATCTTTGATGTTTCTGTATAACATGTCGTTGTTTTTGTCGATGAACCCTGGGATGACACAAACAACAACAACATGCGAGAAAGAGCGGTGAGTGAGAGGGACACGTGAGAGTGGCAGTGAGATCTACTAGTAGGACATGTAGGGACATTGAGGAGCAGGGTAATGCCACCACTGGGCCTGAGACCATGGGTTCCCTTACCCACAACGCAGTAGGTGACCTCCCCAGCATAATGCAGAAGGCGAAAGTCGCCCCTATCCAGCGTCTTACGTGTCTTCTTGTCAGACAGCTTGTGCCTGCAGTCAACGGGACAGAGAGAGAGAGGAAGAGAGGGATCAAGAGTGAGAGGCAGAGCCTAAGCTTTCTTACTGTGTCGACACACAGGTTGAGAAGAGGACAAGAGGTCCATCCAGGGCCGGCTCCAGGCAGAAGTGACATAAACGGTTGCGTAGGGCCCCAGGGCGCTAGGGGGCCCCAGACCCAAAACAATAATATACTGCATATACACTACCAGTCAAAAGTTTGGATCCACCAACTCATTCAAGGGTTTTTCTTTATTTTTACATTGAAGAATAATAGTGAAGACATCAAAACTATGAAATAACACATATAGAATCATGCAGTAACCAAAAAAGTGTTAAACAAATCTTCATATATTTAATATTTGAGATTCTTCAAATAGCCACCCTTTGCCTTGATGACAGCTTTGCACACGCTTGGCATTCTCTCAACCAGCTTCACCTGGAATGTTTTTCCAACAGTCCAACAGAATGAGTTCCCACATATGCTGAGCACTTGTTGGCTGCTTTTCCTTCACTCTGCGGTCCAACTCATCCCAAACCATCTCAATTGGTTTGAGGTCGGGGGATTGTGGAGGCCAGGTCATCTGATGGAGCACTCCATCACTCTCCTTCTTGCTCAAATAGCCCTTACACAGCCTGGAGGTGTGTTGGGTCATTGTGCTGTTGAAAAACAAATGATAGTCCCACTAAGCACAAACCAGATGGGATGGCATATCGCTGCAGAATGCTGTGGTAGCCATGCTGGTTAAGTGTGCCTTGAATTCAAAATAAATCACAGACAGTGTCACCAGCAAAGCACCCCCACACCATAACACCTCCTCCTCCATGCTTTACGGTGGGAAATACACATGCAGAGATCATCCATTCACCCACACCGCGTCTCACAAAGACACGGCGGTTGGAACCAAATATCTCCAATTTGGACTCCAGACCAAAGGACAACTTTCCACCGGTCTAATGTCCATTGCTCGTGTTTCTTGGCCCAAGCAAGTCTCTTCTTCTTATTGGTGTCCTTTAGTAGTGGTTTCTTTGCAGCAATTCAACCATGAAGGTCTGATTCACACAGTCTCCTCTGAACAGTTGATGTTGAGATGTGTTTGTTACTTGAACTCTGTGAAGCATTTATTTGGGCTGGAATTTCTGAGGCTGGTAACTCTAATGAACTTATCCTCTGCAGCAGAGGTAACTCTGGGTCTTCCATTCCTGTGGTGGTCCTCATGAGAGCCAGTTTCATCATAGCGCTTGATGGTTATTGCGACTGCACTTGAAGAAACTTTCAATGTTCTTGAAATGTTCCGTATTGACTGACCTTCTTGTCTTAAAGTAATGATGGACTGTCATTTCTCTTTGCTTATTTGAGCTGTTCTTGCCATAATATGGACTTGGTCTTTTATCAAATAGGGCTATCTTCTGTATACCCTCCCCCCCACTTTCTTGGTTACCACATGATTCCATATGTGTTATTTCATAGTTTTGATGTCTTCACTATTATTATACAATGTAGAAAATAGTAAAAAATAAAGAAAAACCCTGAAATGAGTATGTTTGTCCAAACCTTTGACTGGTACTGTATATCTATATTTTGGAAATCAGTATTCGTCTCAAGTTACTGTTGAGAGTTAGAATAGCAAGGTGCAAGTTCGAAATTTGTTTGTGCATCAGCTATTTTTATTTTGTTATACCAGTCACTCAATTAGCCATGTCAGCTAACAATGTTTAAATTGGTAAGTTATTCTAGCCAGCTATCTAAACTTGTAGTAATCATGGCCGAATAGCGACCGGGCACGCAGGGCACGTGCCCAGGGCCCCTGACCTCCAGGGGGCCCCCATTTATTTTGTTAGTCACTCTCACTCAGATATCATTAACATGGCATACTGAAAGTCATGGCAAAATGTGTAGAATTGCAGAAAATCTGCTTTAAAACTAAAATAAATCTCTCCACCCCATAGCAAATGGTTAGATTTCTGGGAATTTGCTGTAAAACTGATACTTTTTTTAGGGATTGGAACTTAAGTGATAAGGGAGGTTGAAGTAACACTGTTGTATATCCTTGAGAAAGGTTGTGTGTGATCAACATGTATGTATGCAGGACTGTGGTTCCGGGAGCGAGGGAACTCACGTGATGAAATGAGGGTGACTGCCCATTTTCTCCTCAAGCCTCTCCAGAAATGTGAAGTCAGTGGCCTCTCCAGGCCTCAGGCACTCTTCATCCTGAGAAAGCAACACGATCATCCCTTTCATTTCAGCCTATGTCATTCCCAAGAGCAATAGGATGCATTATGTTACTAATTTACTGTATGGGTTCAGTCCTGATCAAAAGTAGTGCACTAGATAGGGAATAGGGTGCCATTTGTGTGTCCTCACCAGTACTGAAATGATGCCCCTGTGTTTCTCCTCCACTAAATCACAGATAATCTTATTGTTGAAGAACTGGACAGGCTCCCACTGAAGATGAAAGGAAATAGATGATGGGAAGACATGTGTGAGTGATGGGAATACTACCTAAGCTAAACTCAGCATAAACACACAAGGCATAGCAGGACGCAACAATAACTATAACACCAAAGTAATACTATGATAAGGTCCAAATGCCATATTACACATGTTGACTAAATAGAACCGGATAGAATAGGATAGATAAATATCAGTGTGTGGAAAAATTACGTGTACCCCAATGCCCTCTGCCTCGTATTCCTCCTGCTCCGACTTCAAGGTCAGCTGGATAAAAAGCTGCTGCAGTTTCTCGTTGCAGTAGTTTATACAGAACTGCTCAAAACTGGAATGGACATACAACAGATATCAATTGAAGTGCACCTTAAAATGTTGCCCACCAGTTTCTACAATTTACTGCACAACCTAGTTCCACCCAGAGCCATACAGTGCATTTGGAAAGTATTCAGACCCCTTCCCTTTTTCCACATTTTGTTACGTTATAGCCTTAGTTTAAAATTGATTACATTTTTAAAACTCCTCTACACAAAACACCCCATAATGACAAAGCAAAAACTGGTTTTTAGAAGTTTTGCAAATGTATTAAAAATTAAAAACGGAAATACCTTATTTACATAGGTATCCAGACCCTTTGCTATGAGACTCAAAATTGAGCTCAGGTGCATCCTGTTTCCATTGATCATCCTTGAGATGTTTCTACAACTTGATTGGAGTCCACCTGTGGTAAATTCATTTGATTGGACATGATTTGGAAAGGCACACACCTGTCTTTATAAGGTCCCACAGTTGACAGTGCATGTCAGAGCAAAAACCAAGCCATGAGGTCGAAGGAATTGTCCGTAGAGCTCCGAGACAGGATTGTGTCGAGGCACAGATCTGGGGAAGGGTACCAAAAAATTGCAGCATTGAAGGTCCCCAAGAACACAGTGGCCTCCATCATTCTTAAATGGAAGAAGTTTGGAACCACCAAGACTCTTCCTAGAGCTGGCCGCCCGCCCAAACTGAGCTATTGGGGGAGAAGGGCCTTGGTCAGGGAGGTGACCAAGAACCCGATGGTCACTCTGACAGCGCTGTAGAGTTCCTCTGTGGAGATGGGAGAACCTTCCAGAAGGACAACCATCTCTGCAGCACTCCACCAATCAGGCCTTTATGGTAGAGTGGCCAGATGGAAGCCACTCCTCAGTAAAAGGCACATGACAGCCTGCTTGCAGTTTGCCAAAAGGTACCTAAAAGACTCTCAGACCATGAGAAACAAGATTCTCTGGTCTGATGAAACCAAGATTGAACTCTTTGGCCTGAATGCCAAGCATCACGTCTGGAGGAAACCTGGCACCATACCTACGATGAAGCATGGTGGTGGCAGCATTATACTGTGGGGATGTTTTTCAGCTGCAGGGACTGGGAGACTAGTCAGGATCGAGGGAAAGATCGGAGCAAAGTACAGAGAGATCCTTGATGAAAACCTGCTCCAGAGCGCTCTGGACCTCAGACTGGGGTGAAGGTTCACCTTCTAACAGGACAACGACCCTAAGCACACAGCCAAGACAACGCAGGAGTGGCTTCGGGACAAGTCTCTTAATGTCCTTGAGTGGCCCAGCCAGAGCTCGGACTTGAACCCAATCTAACATCTCTGGAGAGACCTGAAAATAGCTGTGCAGCGACGCTCCCCATCCAACCTGACAGAGCTTGAGAGGATCTGCAGAGAAGAACGTGAGAAACTCGCCAAATACAGGTGTGCCAAGCTTGTAGTGTCATACCCAAGAAGACTTGAGGCTGTAATCGCTGCCAAAAGTGCTTCAACAAAGTACTGAGTAAAGGGTCTGAATAGTTATGTAAATGTTATATTTCAGTTCTTTTATTTTTAATGCATTTGCAAAAATGCCTAAAAACCTGTTTTTGTTTTGTCATTATGGGGTATTTTGTGTAGATTGATGAGGGAATAAAAACTATTTAATCAATTTTAGAATAAAGTTGTAACGTAACAAAATGTGGAAAAGGTCAAGGGGTCTGAATACTTTCCGAATGCACTGTATATTTAGAGTTCGGCCAACTTTTAAAACGGACGCAATGTTGATGCCATTGAGCTTTCAACTGATCCATTCATGACAAGTATTTGGATTCTACTTTTAATTCTAGAGGTTCAGTTACATAGCTTTGTTTAAGATTAAGAAAATTCCATAAACTGCTATTGGTCAATATTGCCCATAGGGAGCTAACAATGCTGCCATATGGAATTATTTGATTGTACTGTGTCATGTAAATGCATCATAATGCAGAAACCTCAATGTCCTAACTCTCTAAATACACTGCTCAAAACAATAAAGGGAACACTTAAACAACACAATGTAACTCCAAGTCAATCACACTTCTGTGAAATCAAACTGTCCACTTAGGAAGCAACACTGATTGACAATACATTTCACATGCTGTTGTGCAAATGGAATAGACAACAGGTGGAAATTATAGGCAAATTAGCAAGACACCCCCAATAAAGAAGTGGTTCTGCAGGTGGTGACCACAGACCACTTCTCAGTTCCTATGCTTCCTGGCTGATGTTTTGGTCACTTTTGAATGCTGGCGGTGCATTCACTCTAGTGGTAGCATGAGACGGAGTCTACAACCCACACAAGTGGCTCAGGTAGTGCAGCTCATCCAGGATGGCACATCAATGCGAGCTGTGGCAAGAAGGTTTGCTGTGTCTGTCAGCGTAGTGTCCAGAGCATGGAGGCGCTACCAGGAGACAGGCCAGTACATCAGGAGACGTGGAGGAGGCCGTAGGAGGGCAACAACCCAGCAGCAGGACCGCTACCTCCGCCTTTGTGCAAGGAGGAGCAGGAGGAGCACTGCCAGAGCCCTGCAAAATGACCTCCAGCAGGCCACAAATGTGCATGTGTCTGCTCAAACGGTCAGAAACAGACTCCATGAGGGTGGTATGAGTGCCCGACGTCCACAGGTGGGGGTTGTGCTTACAGCCCAACACTGTGCAGGACGTTTGGCATTTGCCAGAGAACACCAAGATTGGCAAATTCGCCACTGGTGCCCTGTGCTCTTCACAGATGAAAGCAGGTTCACACTGAGCACATGTGACAGACGTGACAGAGTCTGGAGACGCCATGGAGAACGTTCTGCTGCCTGCAACATCCTCCAGCATGACCGGTTTGGCGGTGGGTCAGTCATGGTGTGGGGTGGCATTTCTTTGGGGGGGCCGCACAGCCCTCCATGTGCTCGCCAGAGGTAGCCTGACTGCCATTAGGTACCGAGATGAGATCCTCAGACCCCTTGTGAGACCATATGCTGGTGCGGTTGGCCCTGGGTTCCTCCTAATGCAAGACAATGCTAGACCTCATGTGGCTGGAGTGTGTCAGCAGTTCCTGCAAGAGGAAGGCATTGATGCTATGGACTGGCCCGCCCGTTCCCCAGACCTGAATCCAATTGAGCACATCTGGGACATCATGTCTCGCTCCATCCACCAACGCCACGTTGCACCACAGACTGTCCAGGAGTTGCCGGATGCTTTAGTCCAGGTCTGGGAGGAGATCCCTCAGGAGACCATCCGCCACCTCATCAGGAGCATGCCCAGGCGTTGTAGGGAGGTCATACAGGCACGTGGAGGCCACACACACTACTGAGCCTCATTTTGACTTGTTTTAAGGACATTACATCAAAGTTGGATCAGCCTGTAGTGTGGTTTTCCACTTTAATTTTGAGGGTGACTCCAAATCCAGACCTCCATGGGTTGATATATTTGATTTCCATTGATAATTTTTGTGTGATTTTGTTGTCAGCACATTCAACTATGTAAAGAAAAAAGTATTTAATAAGATTATTTCATTCATTCAGATCTAGGATGTGTTGTTTAAGTGTTCCCTTTATTTTTTTGAGCAGTGTATATGTCTCTGGTTCCACCTACCTGTTGACATAGAAAACCTCAAAGCCATATATGTCAAGGAGACCAATGACTGTCTTCCTTGACGGTTCCTGTCGAAAAAGGTTTCAGGAAACAGTGGTCAGTCACACAGATCACCAGTGCTCCTGTTTCATCTTGACATGAGCTTGTCACTGACAGTATCTGCTAACCTTATTCTCCATGGAATCATTTATCTTATTGACCAGCCAGGTAAAGGTGCGTCCATAGATGGCTTTGGCCAGGGCATCTCTGGCATAGATGGCATGGTCCACTGTGAATGGGCTGAGCACCTGGATGGTGATGAAAAAAGGAAAACATTAGATAACGTGACTTCCGTCTCGCTTCCGCATTGTCTCCGTGCTGCTGTGCTGTTTGTTGCTACTTGGCTACCTGCCAAACTATTCACGTTTTACTTTTAATAAACGTTTAATCAATCTCTGTGTTCAACAAATTTACCAACTTTTTAGTTTTGTCCTCACTCATCTTTTTTCGTTAAACTTTTTCACCCCTGACGTTTTATCCCGAGACAGAAGAGTCATTTTCCTGTGCGTTTTAGCTGCCAACTTTACTTTATTTTCCTTTTTTCCATCGCAACTTTTTTCCCTTATTCAACTTTTTCACTCCGGACGCTTTATCTGGACATGGTTCGTCAACATCTTCAACAGCCGAAGCTAAGTAGTAACATTAACATGATGTCTTCTAATTGCAGTCGCTGTACTCATAATATACAGGAGAACGATCGCCTTACGGCGAGAATAGCTGTGCTACAAGCCCAGCTTCAGACGCAATCGTTAGGCAAGGGTAATTTCAGTGTAGGAAAGGAAGAAACAGCGTCTGTGCCACCAGTAAGTACAGACAGTAACGTTAGTATAAATCCCCCCGCACAGTCCCCGCAGCCGGACAACTTTCTCATGGCTTCTGGAGGGAAATACTGTTGGAATGCTCAACCGGTGTCGCTCATTCAGCCGACAGAAACCTTCAACCGGTTTTCCCCATTATGTAGCGAGTCGGAGTCTGAGTCTGAGTCTTCTCTTGTCTCTACTCCTCCCGTTACGGGGTCTGAGACGCCGAAGGCTCCCACCATTAGCTCTGACAAATTGAAAACCCTAGTCATTGGCGACTCCATTACCCGCAGTATTAGACTTAAAACGAATCACCCAGCGATCATACACTGTTTACCAGGGGGCAGGGCTACCGACGTTAAGGCTAATCTAAAGATGGTGCTGGCTAAAGCTAAAACTGGCGAGTGTAGAGAGTATAGAGATATTGTTATCCACGTCGGCACCAACGATGTTAGGATGAAACAGTCAGAGGTCACCAAGTGCAACATAGCTTCAGCGTGTAAATCAGCTAGAAAGATGTGTCGGCATCGAGTAATTGTCTCTGGCCCCCTCCCAGTTAGGGGAAGTGACGAGCTCTACAGCAGAGTCTCAGCACTCAATCGCTGGTTGAAAACTGTTTTCTGCCCCTCCCAAAAGATAACATTTGTGGATAATTGGCCCTCTTTCTGGGACTCACCCACAAACAGGACCAAGCCTGACCTGCTGAGGAGTGACGGACTCCATCCTAGCTGGAGGGGTGCTCTCCTCTTATCTACCAACATAGATAGGGCTCTAACTCCTCTAGCCCCACAGTGAAATAGGGTGCAGGCCAGGCAGCAGGCTGTTAGCCAACCTGCCAGCTTAGTGGAGTCTGCCAATAGCATAGTCAGTGTAGTCAGCTCAGCCATACCCATTGAGACTGTGTCTGTGCCTCGACCTAGGTTGGGCAAAACTAAACATGGCGGTGTTCACCCTAGCAATCTTATTAGGATAAAGACCTCCTCCATTCCTGCCATTATTGAAAGAGATCGTGATACCTCACATCTCAAAATAGGGTTACTTAATGTTAGATCCCTCACTTCAAAGGCAGTCATAGTCAATGAACTAATCACTGATCATAATCTTGATGTGATTGGCCTGACTGAAACATGGCTTAAGCCTGATGAATTTGCTGTGTTAAATGAGGCCTCACCTCCTGGTTACACTAGTGACCATATTCCCCGTGCATCCCGCAAAGGCGGAGGTGTTGCTAACATTTACGATAGCAAATTTCAATTTACAAAAAAAAAAATGGCGTTTTCATCTTTTGAGCTTCTAGTCATGAAATCTATGCAGCCTACTCAATCACTTTTTATAGCTACTGTTTACAGGCCTCCTGGGCCATATACAGCGTTCCTCTCTGAGTTTCCTGAATTCCTATCAGACCTTGTAGTCATAGCAGATCATATTCTAATTTTTGGTGATTTTAATATTCACATGGAGAAGTCCACAGACCCACTCCAAAAGTCTTTCGGAGCCATCATCGACTCAGTGGGTTTTGTCCAACATGTCTCTGGACCTACTCACTGCCACAGTCATACTCTGGACCTAGTTTTGTCCCATGGAATAAATGTTGTAGATCTTAATGTTTTTCCACAAAATCCTGGACTATCGGACCACCATTTTATTACGTTTGCAATCGCAACAAATAATCTGCTCAGACCCCAACCAAGGAGCATCAAAAGTCGTGCTATAAATTCTCAGACAACACAAAAATTCCTTGATGCCCTTCCAGACTCCTTCTGCCTACCCAAGGACGTCAGAGGACAAAAATCAGTTAACCACTTAACTGAGGAACTCAATTTAACCTTGCGCAATACCCTAGATGCAGTTGCACCCCTAAAAACGAAAAACATTTGTCATAAGAAACTAGCTCCCTGGTATACAGAAAATACCCGAGCTTTGAAGCAAGCTTCCAGGAAATTGGAACGGAAATGGCGCCACACCAAACTGGAAGTCTTCCGACTAGCTTGGAAAGACAGTACCGTGCAGTACCGAAGAGCCCTCACTGCTGCTCGATCATCCTACTTTTCCAACTTAATCGAGGAAAATAAGAATAATCCAAAATTTCTTTTTGATACTGTTGCAAAGCTAACTAAAAAGCAGCATTCCCCAAGAGAGGATGGCTTTCACTTCAGCAGTAATAAATTCATGAACTTCTTTGAGGAAAAGATCATGACCATTAGAAAGCAAATTACGGACTCCTCTTTGAATCTGCGTATTCCTCCAGGGCTTAGCTGTCCTGGATCTGCACAGCTCTGCGAGGGCCTGGGATCGGGAGAGACACTTAAGTGTTTTAGTACTATATCTCTTGACACAATGATGAAAATAATCATGGCCTCTAAACCTTCAAGCTGCATACTGGATCCTATTCCTACTAAACTGCTGAAGGAGCTGCTTCCTGTGCTTGGCCCTCCTATGTTGAACATAATAAACAGCTCTCTATCCACCGGATGTGTACCAAACTCACTAAAAGTGGCAGTGATAAAGCCTCTCTTGAAAAAGCCAAACCTTGACCCGGAAAATATAAAAAACTATCGGCCTATATCGAATCTTCCATTCCTCTCAAAAATTTTAGAAAAAGCTGTTGCGCAGCAACTCACTGCCTTTCTGAAGACAAACAATGTATACGAAATGCTTCAGTCTGGTTTTAGACCCCATCATAGCACTGAGACTGCACTTGTGAAGGTGGTAAATGACCTTTTAATGGCGTCAGACCGAGGCTCTGCATCTGTCCTCGTGCTACTAGACCTTAGTGCTGCCTTTGACACCATCGATCACCACATTCTTTTGGAGAGACTGGAAACCCAAATTGGTCTACACGGACAAGTTCTGGCCTGGTTTAGATCTTACCTGTCGGAAAGATATCAGTTTGTCTCTGTGAATGGTCTGTCCTCCGACAAATCAACTGTACATTTCGGTGTTCCTCAAGGTTCCGTTTTAGGACCACTATTGTTTTCACTATATATTTTACCTCTTGGGGATGTTATTCGAAAACATAATGTTAACTTTCACTGCTATGCGGATGACACACAGCTGTACATTTCAATGAAACATGGTGAAGCCCCAAAATTGCCCTCGCTAGAAGCCTGTGTTTCAGACATAAGGAAGTGGATGGCTGAAAACTTTTTACTTTTAAACTCGGACAAAACAGAGATGCTTGTTCTAGGTCCCAAGAAACAAAGAGATCTTCTGTTAAATCTGACAATTCATCTTGATGGTTGTAAAGTCGTCTCAAATAAAACTGTGAAGGACCTCGGCGTTACTCTTGACCCTGATCTCTCTTTTGACGAACATATCAAGACTGTTTCAAGGACAGCTTTTTTCCATCTACGTAACATTGCAAAAATCAGAAATTTTCTGTCCAAAAATGATGCAGAAAAATTAATCCATGCATTTGTTACTTCTAGGTTAGACTACTGCAATGCTCTATTTTCCGGCTACCCGGATAAAGCACTAAATAAACTTCAGTTAGTGCTAAATACGGCTGCTAGAATCCTGACTAGAACCAAGAAATTTGATCATATTACTCCAGTGCTAGCTTCCCTACACTGGCTTCCTGTTAAGGCAAGGGCTGATTTCAAGGTTTTACTGTTAACCTATAAAGCGTTACATGGGCTTGCTCCTACCTATCTTTCCGAGTTGGTCCTGCCGTACATACCAATACGTACGCTACGGTCACAAGACGCAGGCCTCCTAATTGTCCCTAGAATTTCTAAGCAAACAGCGGGAGGCAGGGCTTTCTCCTATAGATCTCCATTTTTATGGAACAGTCTGCCTACCCATGTGAGAGACGCAGACTCGGTCTCAACCTTTAAGTCTTTACTGAAGACTTATCTCTTCAGTAGGTCATATGATTGAGTGTAGTCTGGCCCAGGAGTGTGAAGGTGAACGGAAAGGCTCTGGAGCAACGAACAGCCCTTGCTGTCTCTGCCAGGCCGGTTCCCCTCTCCACTGGGGTTCTCTGCCTCTAACCCTGTTGCAGGGGCTGAGTCACTGGCTTGCTGGTGCTCTTTCATGCCGTCCCTGGGAGGGGTGCGTCACTTGAGTGGGTTGAGTTACTGACGTGATCTTCCTGTCTGGGTTGGCGCCCCCCCTTGGTTTGTGCTGTGGTGGAGACCTCTGTGGGCTATACTCGGCCTTGTCTCAGGATTGTAAGTTGGTGGTTGAGGATATCCCTCTAGTGGTGCGGGGGCTGTGCTTTGGCAGAGTGGGTGGGGTTATATCCTTCCTGTTTGGCCCTGTCCGGGGGTTTCTTCGGATGGGGCCACAGTGTCTCCGGACCGCTCCTGTCTCAGCCTCCAGTATTTATGCTGCAGTAGTTTATGTGTCGGGGGGCTGGGGTTAGTTGGTTATACCTGGAGTACTTCTCCTGTCTTATCCAGTGTCCTGTGTGAATTTAAGTATGCTCTCTCTAATTCTCTCGTTCTCTCTTTCTCTCTGAGAACCTGAGCCCTAGGACCATACGTCAGGACTACCGGGCATGATGACACCTTGCTGTCCCCAGTCCGCCTGGCCTTGCTGCTATTCCAGTTTCAACTGTTCTGCCTGCGGTTACGAAACCCCTACCTGTCCCAGACCTGCTGTTTTCAACTCTTAATGATCGGCTATGAAAAGCCAACTGAGAGACCTGAGCCCTAGGACCATACGTCGGGACTACCGGCCGTGGTGACTCCTTGCTGTCCCCAGTCCGCCTGGCCTTGCTGCTATTCCAGTTTCAACTGTTCTGCCTGCGGTTATGGAACCCCTACCTGTCCCAGACCTGCTGTTTTCAACTCTTAATGATCGGCTATGAAAAGCCAACTGAGATTTATTCCTGATTATTATTTGACCATGCTTGTCACTTATGAACATTTTTGAACATCTTGGCATGGTTCTGTTATAATCTTCACCCGGCACAGCCAGAAGAGGACTGGCCACCCCTCATAGCCTGGTTCCTCTCTAGGTTTCTTCCTAGGTTTTCGCCTTTCTAGGGAGTTTTTCCTAGCCACCGTGCTTCTACACCTGCATTACTAGCTGTTTGGGGTTTTAGGCTGGGTTTCTGTACAGCACTTCGAGATATTAGCTGATGTAAGAAGGGCTATATAAAATAAAATTGATTGAAAAAATTGATTGATAACACCTAACCTGACAAGTAAGAGTGTGCACATTTACATCTGATTGAAACAGCTGAAATCATGAATGAGAAGGAGTACTGGGTTTAACACTAGTAAGTGCAGTTAATTATTCATTAATTAATTCAGTCATTACCCCTCCTCTCTCTCTCACCTCATCTGTTTTGGCCTCAATCTTCCTGTATGTCAGCCCCTCCTGCAGTACTTGAACATTGATCCCCAGCAACTACAGATGATCACACACAACACAAAGTCAGAAAAGTGTAGACAGACTGTGGTCTCTAGGGCTTTGGCATGGTGTCGTTGTGGAGTGTCCAAGGAATAACAAGGCTTACTGTTGACACCCAGCGGAGTTCTGTGTTGTTGTTCAATGTGGCATAGCCTTTGCTGTCAGCTTCAAACTGCACATTCCCTAAGTGGAGGACGCTTGCTATGATCCCAAATAGGTGCTGCAGAGAATGAAGACATGTGAGGCTTAGAGTTAGGGGTAGGGTTAAGGTTAGGGCTGAGGTGGTGCCCAGGTGTCTGTAAGCAGCATGTGAGGCTTAGAGTTAGGGGTAGGGTTAAGGTTAAGGTTAGGGCTGAGGTGGTGCCCAGGTGTCTGTAAGCAGCATGTGAGGCTTAGAGTTAGGGGTAGGGTTAAGGTTAGGGCTGAGGTGGTGCCCAGGTGTCTGTAAGCAGCATGTGAGGCTTAGAGTTAGGGGTAGGGTTAAGGTTAGGGCTGAGGTGGTGCCCAGGTGTCTGTAAGCAGCATGTGAGGCTTAGAGTTAGGGTTAGGATAAGGGTTAGGGTTGAGGTGGTGGCCAGCTGTGTGTAAGCAGCTCCCCTCACACACACACATTCACAAAGCAAAGGTATGTGCAGCATAGTACTGCACAGTATATTGCAATAAGATATACAGGACATTTGAATGAATGTCATCACAAAATCTGTTTCCACAAACAGTGTGACAGCAACTCACTTGTATGTCACTCTCGTCAAAGTCGATGACGGACAGGGCGTTTCTCACCGTCTTCCAGTCGTTCTTCTCATTGATTGAGGTCACATTGGCACACTCGTCCTGCTTGAGAGAGGGAGTTGCCATTATAGAGTGGCACCCAGCAGTTAGCCTAGCCCTAGCTAGCCCATCAATGGACCACGGTGGTTGCCCATACTTGCACCAGGTAGCTGTAGTGCTGGCAGTTGCTCTCAAGGCCTAGCTGATGCAGCAGGTCTTCCTCCCCTCCCTCCACCAGCTGGTAGAAGATGTGGAAGTTCCTCTCTCCGTGGTTCTGGTGGACCACTCTGGACTTCTCCAGCAAGTAGCTCAGGATATGGCCCCCCACGGCATCCCCCTGGAGGGTAAACATGTGATCAATTATCAATTAGCCTCAATGAACTGCTTACCAGACCTGGATCAGAATTCACAAATCGTCTCAGAGTAGGAGTGGTGATCTGGGAAACTCCTACAATGACAAGCTTTGTCAATACGGGTCCTGGGTTGAAATAGAATTGCTTTGGTCCATCAAAATCAAGTGGAGCAAAAGTATTTCAAGGAAAAACCAAAACTCATGTCGTCTGCTTATTATAAGAACATAAGCCCATAGTCTCCATCCATCCTTACCTGGATGTCAAACTGGATATCCATGTACTTTCCAAAGCGACTAGAGTTGTCATTCTTCAGTGTTTTGGCGTTGCCGAAAGCCTGTTGGGAAACACTGAGGTATCAATCACTGAGGGACTTACTACTGGGTATTTCCACGAAATGAGTCCCTTTTGGGTAGTGTAACTTGGTGAAAAAACACTTTTCATTTCACCTAATTTTAACATTGACGAGCACATGTTCAACTTAATAAGAAACATATTTTCCTATCTCAAGAGGTTATAAAAGAAATGACTATAGTAAGTACCTATTAAGTGCCAAATAAAGTAACAGGGTTGATTGGAACAGGGTTGACGATGTCATCTTAAATCGTCCATAAATCCCCTTGTGACAGGGGGAATGGAAGCTTGTTGTGTGCAACAGTGAGGGGCAATTGAATGCAAGCCCCACCAGAAAATGTCCAAAAAGAGTATAACCAGCTCACCTGCTTTTACACTATGATTTGACTATTAGATGTTCAATGTTTCTTTTGAAAAAAAGTTTTGAAAAAGGAACAGTTTCCCCATAAAAAAACGTTTTTAAAAAGGAACAGTTTCCCCAAAGAGAGTTCAGTTAACATAACAGGGTCGACCTTAAAATGAGGGACAGGTTTTGTTTTACCTTAAAATGAATCACTAATCACATGAAATAAATAATTATCTTCAGAAATGACTTTGTAAAAGCAACAAAATAACTACGGCTTTACAGTGATGGTGAAAACTTGGAGAAATGTTGGTTTAAATCTTTTGAGAAGTCACAGAGGGATATTAAAATAAAATAATATTAATAATAATACATTTTCCATGTGGTCTATATTAAAGGGCACTTCATTTAATATAACAAGCTTTTAAAATCCAATATTGGGGCACAATTTTTACTTAAAACATCAAAGGGACTCATTTCAGGGAACGACCCTACTATGTGACCCAGAATGTGCGATAGCCTGGTCCCAGATCTGTTTGTACTGTATAGCTATGATGACAATAAACATAGCACAGCACAAATAGCGAGACAGCAGAAACAGATCTGGGACCAGATCTGACCAGATGTGTGATAATAGTGAGTGATAGGAACAGTCCGATCAGACCTCCAGCACAGGGTTGGACACCAGCATCCGGTCCCTGACGCTGTCCAGTAGGGTGGTACTAGGGCAGCTCACAGCATAGTACTGCAGGATCTTCTTGGAAGCCTCTGTCTTGCCGGCACCACTCTCCCCAGAGATGAGGATGAAATGGTTGTTGGCCTCAGACATCATGGTGTGGTAGGCGTTGTCCGCCAGGGCATAACTTCAGAAAAATTGATTGTGTCAAGTGATATGCACATTCACATTCCACAACTAATCATTTCTACATCGATGCTGGGCCAATAAGGAATAAGAATAATGAAATAAAATCCTTTACATGTGATATGAAAAAAAATGAATTATGCACTCACTAACTGTAAGTCGCTCTGGATAAGAGCGTTTGCTAAATGACTCAAATGTAAATGTAAATATGCTGCTCCTGCACTTTATTCCTGCACCCAGACAGACGTCAGACAGCGATGTTGTATAAACATTGTATAAACGTTGTACCGTGTGTGGGCTTATCCCGTGGATTGGCATATCATCTCACGAGTGACAAACAATAAGATTTAAAAATGCAGATAGACATACACATTGGTGTGCTATTTATGTAACACACTCACATATGTGGTGGAAGCTCAAAAAAGTTGACACCCATGTATATATCCATCTGTTTTTTGCTGTAGATATCCAACTCCTTGTAGGGGTTCACAGACACTAGCAGAGTGCCTATATACGTCTGCACAGGAAGAAAAAACAGGTTTATATCTGTAAGTTGATAGTTCTTCAACATTCGCTAACAATCCCAGAATGTTGCTTATAAAATAAGTATTGCACCAAAATAGGGTCTGCAACTGGGTCTAAAGTGATGGCGTCATTATACGGTGCATTCGGAAAGTATTCAGACCCCTTGACTTTTTCCAAATTTTGTTACGTTACAGCCTTATTCTAAAATGGATTAAATTAATTGTTTTCCTCAATCTACACACAATACCCCATATTGACAAAGCAAAAACAGGTTTTTAGACATTTTTACAAATGTATTAAAAATAAAAAACAGAAATACCTTATTTACATAGGTATTCAGACCCTTTGCTATGAGACTCGAAATTGAGCTCAGGTGCATCCTGTTTCCATTGATCATCCTTGAGATGTTTCTACAACTTGATTGGAGTCCACCTGTGGTAAATTCAATTGATTGGACATGATTTGAAAAGGCACACACCTGTCTATATAAGGTCCCACAGTTGACAGTGCATGTCAGAGCAAAAACCAAGCCATGAGGTCGAAGGAATTGTCCGTAGAGCTCTGAGACAGGATTGTGTCGAGGCACAAGTCTGGGGAAGGGTACCAAAAAATGTCTGCCGCATTGAAGGTCCCCAAGAACACAGTGGCCTCCATCATTCTTAAATGGAAGAAGTTTGGAACCACCAAGACTCTTCCTAGAGCTGGCCGCCTGGCCAAACTGAGCAATCGGGGGAGAAGGGCCTTGGTCAGGGAGGTGACCAAGAACCCGATGGTCACTCTGACAGAGCTCCAGAGTTCCTCTGTGGAGATGGGAGAACCTTCCAGAAGGACAACCATCTCTGCAGCACTCCACCAATCAGGCTTCTATGGTAGAGTGGCCAGATGGAAGCCACTCCTCAGTAAAAGGCACATGACAGCCTGCTTGCAGTTTGCCAAAAGGTACCTAAAAGACTCTCAGACCATGAGAAACAAGATGCTCTGGTCTGATGAAACCAAGATTGAACTCTTTGGCCTGAATGCCAAGCGTCACGTCTGGAGGAAACCTGGCACCATACCTACGGTGAAGCATGGTGGTGGTAGAATCATGAGGTGGGGATGTTTTTCAGCAGCAGGGACTGGGAGACTAGTCAGAATCAAGGCAAAGATTAATGGAGCAAAGTACAGAGAGATCCTTGATGAAAACCTGCTCCAGAGCGCTCAGGACCTCTCCATTTCCATTTTTTATCATTATGGGGTATTCTGTGTAGATTGATGAGGAAAAAAAACAATTTAATCAATTTTAGAATAAGGCTGTAACCTAACAAAATGCGGAAAAAGTCAAGGGGTCTGAATACTTTCCGAAGGCACTGTACTGTATATCATAATGCTGGTACTAAGTCAACCACTTCCAAACTCACATAGATGAGGTCCTCACTGAAGCGTTTCTTCAGGTTGTCTAGGAAAGCGGTCTCATTGGTGTGGGCGTCCAGCAGGACAAAGTCCTGGATCCCCACGCGGTCTCGGGCGGTCAGAGCCCCCTCCATGTCCAGCTGGCCCTGGGTACCCTGTGTCTTATGCCCCTACAGCCAATCACACAGCAACCCCGCGTGTTATGAAAGGTACCTACTGCACATAAGGACTTGAAGAAGAAGATTAGCATTTCATAAAGGTATTTTGAGCTGCTTAGGAATGTTTTACTAAGTCCTTATGTAGTTCTACATTTACAGACATGCATCCATGGATAAATAAGAGGACTTAAAGAGGCACAGAACTTTTGGCTTTGGGGGTCCACTAATTAGAAATTCATTGGAACTGGGCACAGCTCTCCACCCCAATTTTTTGTTGTTGTTGTTTGCCTAAAACTAAGGATTTATGTAGTTTCATGAGATAAGAAATCGATTAACATTATATCATATGTATGTCATATGTATATGAACCATACAGCCAACATTCAAGCCAACATTTGACGTAAACAATTAGCAACTCTTCCTCCATAGTGCATATTTAAGTCAAGTTACAAAAGGCTCTTTAGTTGAACAGCAAAAAAGCACAAGCGGAGTCCCTGTTAGTTTTACTGAAACAAGGGCTCTGTGGCTCTCATGGGGCTTTGGAGCAGAGCCCTCTGATTGTGCCGAGGTAGTCTACAGACAGAAGGTAATGTTGGCTACAGAGCACATAATACGGAGGTGTTGGCCAGCAGCCCATAGGCCACCACAGCTCAGACCAACCAAACACACCACCCTCACCCTGTGCAAATGGAACAGGGGAACCCGAAAACAGCGGCACATTTGAGAAAAGCAGAGTGGGAAAATGTTCAGTAATCTGTTTTGCATTCTCAACACCAACACTTGGACCAAAGGTTTTTTCACAGCTTTAGTAGGTTTTCTTTTTTTCTCCTTCTTTAGAAGGCAGAAATCCTTTGATTCTCAACTCTCTCTGTAAAAAAATAAAACATTTAAAAAAAGATAATCCATTGGATCTAATTGGCACAAAGCCCTTAGTACCCCCCCCACACACACACACACACACACACACACACACTCCCCCTCCCATTCCATAGCCCTTGTTACTTCTGAGAAAGGCCAAGTGTTTTTGTCCTGTAAATACCACGGAGCAGAGACAAAAAGGAGGTTTTTAAAATGCAGTCTACAATCCATTACATATATTCCCCCAGCATATCCATTCAGTAATTATTCATTAGAAAACATTTAACGTCACAGTCAATTTCACACTGGCCAGTTGAAACACAATAGAGGAGATTTGCCCTATTTTGGGGTGAGAAGGGGAGGGGGGTGGGGGGCGGTTGGACAGAGGAAGGGTGAGGGCAAAGGAGGGAGGGAATGGGGGGGGGGGGGGCAGTATTTGTCTGATCTGAGAACCCTCTGAAACGGGGCCGTCTTGAGACAACGGGGCAGACTAAATGGCGCAGTAACGGTCTGTGTCCCGCTGTTTGCTGTGACACTCATTTAGTGTGCCCTGGGGGCGAACAATAGGGTCTTGTTCCAAGCAATCCTGTGCTGTAATTTGGACTTCATTACTCTTCTCACACCAAGGCCCATGGATGGAAAGAGGGGGGGCTGGTCAGATGAGTGTTTTTTTTCCACCTGTCAGCCAACCCCCCCTTCACCCCCGCCACCCAAATCTCACCCCCTCTCTTTAACAATACCCCTCACCCCGTGCCCCCACCAATAACCCTCACCGACCACCTCCCCACAGTCTTCCCCCACTTTAAGCCATTGAGACAGGTGAACAATATCATTGAAGGCACCCCATTTGAGACGTCAAAATCAATCTGGCAATGTGATGGTAGTGGTGTGTTTTTTTTTGTTACACTGCCCTCCTTCATGGGAACAAACATCTCTCAAGGCAGTGCAAGCAGACGATGTGCAAAGCTCAGGGACGGACGGACGGACGGACGGGACGGGGGACGGGGGGGGCTACTGTACAGCTCCATAACATATCATATGTATTATGACAATAATAAATAAATAAACTGTTAATACAGCTACTGTACCTGTTGAGGCACAATTTCTGTACTCAGAGAATGGCCACAGTAAACCAATAACTGTGTACAAGACACTGACTCTGTGAGGTAACTGTACTACAGCTGTGTGGACTGGCGACATGCTCATATTACTGAACACAATATTGCAGAATTCCATGGACAAATGCCTTTTTTCCATCTAGGCTATATTGAATAACAGATAGAAGTGACTCAAGTACTGTGTACCTAAAACACTCAGAGATACAAAGCCCATGAAGAACAGTGGAAAGAATAGTTACGTCAGGAACCCAATCAGCCATTCATTGTCAGATCAGATGACCAATTGTCTAAAGAGATGCCCCTTCATCTTGGTCTAGAGTGTCAACCAACATCGCCTGAAACAGTGGTGACCTCATCTCATCCCTGTGAGAGATGGATGCGGTAGGGGAAAACTAACTAACGAGACCCAGTGAAACATGGGTCATATTCATTAAGCACCAAAAGGAAAAATATGGACTGAAACAGGGAGGGACTACCTGAACTTGTCCAATAAGAAACGTGCATGTTCGTTTTCCGTTGCAAAACATTTTAAAACATTTTCCATTGCGTGCCCTAATAAACAGGACCATCATGAGACACTCAACTCCATGGCAGTCTGCTCCTCAGTCAGGAAACAGGAAAACCTGTCTCCTAAAGATGGAATGAGTCTGCCTCCCTCCATTCTTCTATTCTGCCCCGCAGCATGGCGGCCAATCTCTTCACTTGATCAGCAAGATCCTGTTACGCCCCACTAAAGGAGTGGGCCTCCATCCCTTTACGTAAGCACTCTATCTACACTCCACTGGCTGGGCCTCTATGCAACCCTTCTGAAAAAACACGGTCAGACAGTGAGCCCCCAAAGGCATGATATTGGTTATTTTATATTTTTAACTTTTAAAGATTTTTAACTAGTTAACTCTCTTGGGGGACAAGGAGCATCCCACATTTTTTTACAGACTGTCATATGAAAAGTTTACATCCTAGCTTTAAAAGACAAAATGGCACACAAACACTACATTGGAACCTTCAACCATACCTGCATTCTCCAAATCTGTATTGGTCAGTTCTCAGTCAAACTCAGGAATGGGATGCAGACATCCAGGTTGGCTCCAAATTCTTCATTCACCCTCGCTGGACCAGAGCTATATCACACGTGTGCTGCCTCTCCATGTCCTCCCATACCCTAGTCAGTCACTGTGGATGAATCACTGACAATTAGTTGGCAAAAATCAAATTCTGTAGAAATCCTGTATTTACAGTACAGTCCTTCCTCCTCTGTAGCCACTACAGACCCATCACTGAGGATCTACCACAGGGGTTGGTGGTGCTGTCTGCAGTGTGGTGGTGTGCTGTCTACCTGTGTGTTCTGCTCCTCCACACCTTGGTCGTACTGACCCAGGCTCAGGGTACTGCGGCCCGGCTGCTTAATCTATCATTCATGCCGTGGGGGATGGAGGTGGAGGGACAGGGAGATCTTATTCAGTGCTTACTTGAGTGTCTACTAGCTCGACGGGGTGTAACACAAAGATGCAGAAACACAATCCAATCCAACCCTCCTCCGAGTCTCTCTCGTCGTGTGTGTGTGTGTGTGTTCGCACCAGCAGCACAGCAACCCCCACTGACATAGCATAGGACCGGTTACTGATCTTTGATTACATTGCAGGCTAATTATAAACTAATCAAAGTATAGTTCAACTGGGCCTCCGCTATTTCAGAAGGGTCTCTGACTGCTGCTGCAAATGCCCATAGCAAAATGTAGCAAAATGTTTTGCAACACAAAACTAAAACAAGTGTTTCTAATTGGACAGGTTTAGGTAATCACTCCCTGTTTCAGTCCATTTAGTGACTAATGAATGCGATCCTGATATTACATCTTACAGCTCTCTGATCAGATGTCGTTGATTGTGGATTCAAGATTTTTTGCTTTGCTTGTGCACCATAGAAAACTACACACGCTTGACAAGAAATGTCCCAAGGTTTACAAGATATTCTCCAAAAGGCCTGGGAATACGAACATAATGTCCCTTTATCCTCTCCATTCATATATAAATCAATTTATTTACATCTTTGCCCTATAAACACACAGTTGAAAGAAAAAAGAAGAGACAACTTTTAAAATATAAACTTTAGCCAGAGACTGTCGGGTCGTATCAGGATGAGAGCGTTTGTGGTGTTCCCCCCATTGGCTATTCACAGGGAAAGACCACAAGGGAGCAGTAACCTGGTTACCTCAGTAACATGGTAACCTATAGTAGCAAACTCACATGCACGGATGCAAGCAAGTACGCATGCACACACGCACAGGGGGAAGGAGAAGCACAGGTGTCCGTTTCCACTGGCCCGATGACCTAAACGAGAGAAAATATCCAATTTCCCTCTATTTGTGGCAGTTCAAGCTGCTTCCCACCATTGGAGTAAAGTTAGACATAATGGATGTTCAGATGTTGCCCATTTCAATTATCCACCCTCCACTCCGAAAGTTGTCAGGGGGCTACTTCTGCCTGAACCCCCCGCCTCTCTCTCCCCAATCCGGCAGCCCAGCAATGCTTGTCCAATCTTAACAAGCTTTGCGCTACCCACTGGGCTCTGATTCAGCACGAGACCCGGTTAAATCCAATTACACAGGAGTCAGAGAGGTTGATTTTCCCATTAGAGATTCCATGCTGAGAATGAAGGCTGGATGATAACACTCACATCATCAGAACATTACTGCCAGGTCCCTCCCTCTCTTGCGCTACCTCTCTCTCTACCTTTCTCTCTCTCTCTCTCCCTCTCTCTCCCTCTCTCCCCCTCTCGCTCTCTCTCTCTCTCCCATTCCCCCTTTTCCTCTATCCCTCTCTTTCTCTCCCTTTTTCTCCCCTTTTCTTTCTTTCATAGTCCATCAAAGTAATTTTTTCAGAGCAGCGGAACGAGGGCCGGGCTCCCGTCTTCAGTTCATGTTCCAGCCGTGGAGTATACGGTCAGCAAGGTTAATTACTCCCTGTATACATTGAAGGCAGTTCTTTACTTTCACAACATTTCATGTCTCTGTCTGAAGCTACAGTATATGACATAAGA